CCTGGCGCAGGTGCGAATCAGTTTGTAATCTATTCCGAAAAATTATCGCAGGGTCGGTAAGGTTAGGTTATAGATATTTTTGACACTGGAAACTGCTTAAAAAATCCCCTCGGACGGATGGCAGGCGCTGGGCGGGGCGGTGAGCGCGCAGAGCCTGGTGGTGCTGGGCAACCACCGCAGCGGCGCGGTGCGGGCCGCGGTGGTGCGCGCCTTAGCGGCCCTGCAGCGCCGCGCGCCGCCCGACCTGGCGCGCGCGCTGCGCCACGCCCACTGCTACGTGCACCTCGCCGACCAGGTCCCGCTTCTATCACTTCATACAGCTTTGTTTGCGGAATTATTTCTAATTATAACTGATCGTACAAACTGTGATTCAGCAAATCGCGTACCCATTCTGTCCATTTCATTTAGTTGCTAATTTATCGATCCGTTTTAGAAGATATGTCGATTCGTTTGAAATAAACCATTTCATTATTATCGATTGTCAAAGAGACGAGAAGCGTACGGTAATATGAATTACTTAAACTATTTTCCAGTAGGGACACAAATATACAATCGTAACGACATTAAATTTTCATCGTATTTCCGACTTACAAAAATGTTTATTATTATAGATATCACAGTACGAGGCCACTTGGGAGCTGGTGACGGCCTGCGCGGCTCTCATCACCAAATGCGACGTTCCGCTCGAGGATCAACTCGATGTACCTACCGCTTGATATATTATGAAATTATTATATAATGTATTTGTTAATTCCTACTATATGCGTGGTAACGTGTGTGTTAACCCACCAAACGTACAAAGGACCGCGTAAAATATATGAATATCTATATGATGCTCACGGGAACATTGATGGACCGATTACGACGTTGAACCGCAGGAGGACATCTGGGTGGAGGCCAGCGAGGAGTGGACGCAGCGCTGCCCGCCGCTGCTGGCGCTGCTGCCGGGCTGCGTGGGGGACGTGGCGCTCGCTCACAACATCACGCTCGTGCTGCGGAGACTCATCGACAAGGTACGCCGCAGGGAATTGTTCCTTACGGACGTTTTCTAATCTAAAACAGAAATCTCTCTATTCTAAATATAGGGTGATCGAGTCTTAAATTTGTGTCACTATAGAAAAATTATTTTGAATGATTTTTAAACAGTATTAAGAAAATATGTTTTTTTTTTTGTAGATTGTTATTTCGTTACTTACATAATTTTTATATTTCTGTATATTCAATGAGTAGTCATCGTTGCGCGCACTGAGCGAGGTATCAATGTGCGAAGTGGTAGTCCGAGCGATACGCTCGGTGGGTGAGCGCGGCGGGGCGGAGGGGGAGGGGGAGGGGCGCGAGCTGCTGCTGCACGACCTGCACCAGCTGCTGGCCGCCCTCGCGCTGCACGCGCTGCAGGCCCACCACGGCATGCAGGTACCGTCTTGCACCACAAACAAACCATCATTTTTTCCATTTTGTCTCGGATCTGGGTATCGCGGGACCTCTGTTATCCCACAAACTCCATAATACGGGGGCTTCAGTTCCTCATTCTAAAATCTGAGCACTGTACGTGAGGCTGTCTAATATTTGCTTATTTACATTCCAAACAAATAACATTGCACGTGTGTGTCGCCAGACGATCTGCGACATACACCACATGCTGACGTTCGTGGAGGAGACGAGTGCGGGGGCGGGGGCGCGGGCGGCGTGCCGGGACGCGCAGGTGGCGCTGTACGCGGCGCAGCTGGACCACCTGGAGCGCCGCCTGCAGGACGCCGCGCCCGCCTCCTACGCCGCCTACCTCACCACCGGTCGGTGCCGCACTCACTCGCGAGGGATCATTTCCTGTCCGCCCGTCTTTATTACCACATGCCGTTCGGTCCCAAACTGCTGACTAGTGCAAATGATCGACCTAAATGATGGGCAGTTAAAAAGAGAACTGAACGAATGATAGAAATTACTGGTAGATGGAAGATATTACTTAATTATTTTTTCACTATCTTGGATGACCAACAGCTAATTATTTACAGTTGTACAGCTACTGAAAACTTCACAACGGTGACCTATTACGAATAAATGATATATGAAACACCGAATGGAAACATTTGTTGGGAAAGTCGCTCCTCCGTTTCGAACAGATTTTTTCTTCTACATATTCCTCCTGTTGGACCGGCGATATCGATTACGCTCATGTGTGTGTGTTGCACCCGGCAGTGTTGTCGTCTGCCGTGTCGTTGGGTGGGGAGGGCCGCGTGGAGCGGGGGGAGCTGGCCGCGCGCCACCTCAACACAGTGCAGCGAGCTGTCGCCTTCCTGCTCACACACTCGCCCGCCGACCCGCTGCCCAGCGAGGCACACGCCACGCTCTTCTCCAGACTCTTGTCTACTCTCTTACTCGGTAAGTGATCGATTGATATATGAACTCATTCTTGATCCAAACTTCAGAAGGCACCTGAAATCTTGCGCGAGCGAGTGATTAAAAGTCTATTAAACTAATACAGAATATTCATTACTCACTCAATATTAATTCATAATGACTTTTTCATTGTATTTGATCATATACGCTTTCACAATGCTATACTGAAAATATTCTTTATGGCAAATGCTTATGAGCTACTCAGAACCCAACAGAACTGATGAATCTTTCAAGCTCAAATATTTTTACAAATATTTAAACTTTCAATAAAGATGAAAATATGACATAATGATAAATCATAATAACTATCTCATCATCATAACTATTTCGAATGAAGCCTATTCTTATAGGATTTTCTTTTTTATTTTTCTTTTGTAATAAGTCAAGTAGATAATTAAAGAAACATCGAGAGAAAACAATTAAAAAAACGGCCTCGTATAGTTTATGTTGAAATAATACACATGTCATTTGAAAGTTAACAATATGTATAATAATCTTTCTGTCGATCTAGCTGTGAACGGCGGGAGCGGGGGTGGACGGGGCCGGTGGTGGGGCGGCGGGAGCGGGGGCGCGGAGGGCGCGGCGCTGCTGCAGGAGTTGGTGTGGTGGGGCGCCGCGCCCGCGCCCGGGGTCCGCGCCCTGCAGCCGGCCCTTCTGCGCGCCCTCTACCTCAACGTGCCGCCCGCGCTCACCCCCCACGACCCGCCCACCACTAGAAAGGTAGGACACTAACATAACTGGTCGCGTACTTTATTTGATTCACAAACTAACTGATTAAATTGATAAATAAGAATCCTTTTTGATTTAAATATTGATTTATTAGCGATAGAAACACTTGATACTTGATGCTCGCGACAATGCTTTGATTGCACTGTTGATGAGTAAAAAATGTGAATGAATATGTGAATACGTAAAGCATTTTAATGCTTAATGTGCGGTATAAACCGTACAATAACATATCGACGATGTCGACCGTGCCGGGCCGAGTATATGAGCTGAGTGATGCGTGACAGCTGGCGGTGTACCTGCTGTCGATGCTGCAGCACCAGCACCTGGAGGCGGCGCGGGGGGGCGCCAGCGTGGAGCTGCCCATCCTGGACTGGGCGCGGGGCTGGGCCGTGGGCACGCAGGCCTCGCTGCCCGACCGCCTCGCCAGCGACTGCCTCGCCGCCGAGGCCGCGCATCTGCTGCGCCGCGACCTAGCGCGCTGGCGGGCCGACCGGGCCCGGGCGCGGGCCCACATCGCCAGGTGACCACCTGTCGTTCTCGGTCTCCGCACCTCATAGCATGCGTAACATCTTGTTCGATCTAATAACCGATCGGTGATGGTATATTCGGTGGATGCAGGGCGGTGTTCAGCAAGGAGAGCCTGTGCAGCCGCCTGGCGGACAGTGCCATGAGCATGACGCGCCAGGTGGTGGAGGCGCAGAACGCGGAGCGGAAGGCGTTCATGACGCACCTGCGGCGCGCCGACGCCGCCCGCTGCCGCGCCGCCAACCGCTGGCAGCTCCTCGTCGCCACGCACACGCACGAGCGAGGTAACGCCGCCGGTCACACCTTGCGGACACCTCCAATCCCCCACACTTAGAGAACTTTGTCCCGACGGCGAAAATAGGCACTCTTTAGTGGAAAGCGATTACTGATTTAACCATCTAAGAATAATTGATAATCCTTTTTTTATTCATCTTTTCACAAAAAGGAAACTAATGAATAGTGTGTGACGCTGATTCAAATAAAGTAGTTCTCGCCGCACGTTCGCTATTTAGTGTATGACGTGAGCGTGTGTGGTTGCAGCGGTGTGGCACTCGGCCCGCAGCTACCCGCAGTCGTGGCAGCTGGACCCGACCGAGGGCCCGGGCCGAGTCCGCGTCAGGCTGCGGCGGGCCCATCTACGGATACACCCGCGCTTTCTCAAGCCTGAACATCGGTATAAGGCAGGTCAGTTACGATGCATCCACCTCACCGTCGTTTTACATGTTATTTTGACAGTGCACAAAATAGAAAAGAAAAGAAAATTGCACTTCGTTTGTTGCTATCTACGAGTATTAATTGTCTCGTTTGTTTTATACTGTATATACATTTCATAATTGTTTAAAATAAAATTTGTAAAATTTCTGCGAATCTAAGAATTGTTTGCTGGTATATTTTCCAAGCGAGTTTGTCTCTCGTTCTACAAGAAACTCCTTCGGTAAAGTTAAAGATAGCCTACATCTCTTCGTCCTCAGACTGCGAATTATTTATATACCAACTTTCACGATTATATGATATCGTAGTTTGTCCGCGGAAGGGCAACGAACGGAGTGGCTTTCGTATTTATGATATTAGAATATGTTTGTCGGTTCGTGTCGCGCCCATAAGAACTGGCGCAGCGGCCGCCGCCCCTGCGCAGCGTGATCGGGCGCGGGGCCACCGAGCGGGACGGGCTGGCGGCGCGGCTGCAGCCCGACGAGGCCGTCGTGTACATGACGCGCGTCACGCACGTCACCGTCGACAGCGAGACCGGCGGCGAGCTGCTGCTCACCGACAGGTGGCCCGTTCACGTTGCCTACTCTCAACGAGTCGTTCCGATAAACGTATAATGTCTGATTCGAACGTTGCCGTGTCGTATGCGCAGAGCGATCCACTTCGTGCCGGAGGAGGGCGCGGACGGGGGCGCGGGCGCGGGCGGCGAGGAGGGCGAGGGCACGTGGTGGGCGCTGGAGGCGGTGCGCGCGGTGGCCACGCGGCGCTGGTGCCTGCAGGAGCGCGCGGTGGAGCTGTGCCTGGCGGCGCGCGCGCACCTGCTGGCCTTCCGCACGGAGCGCGACCGCGCCGCCTTCCTGCACCACCTGCCGCACAAGTACACACACCCACACCCACACGTTACGAATATGTCGACGAATAATAACGGTGTCCTAACCTCGAACGTTATCGGCTCTCCGACGACCGCCTTCCCTAAAATGTTAAATATTCGCTAGCAGTTTCGAACATGACCGTTGGCAGATTAAGATTTTAAAATGTTTGTGAAAATTTGACGGTTTCGACTAATCTAGACGAACACTAAGCATAAAATGATTTGACTCTTTTTGTCGTATTCATGTGACGGTCGATATCTTTAAGGGTGGAGCAGGACTCGCTGTCGGAGGCGATGAGTCAGTGGCGGAGCGGCGCCATCACCAACTGGGAGTACCTGATGCGGCTGAACGGCCTCGGTGGGCGGTCGTACAACGACCTGATGCAGTACCCCGTGCTGCCCTTCGTGCTGGCGGAGTACTCCGCGCGCGTGCTGGACCTCACCGACCCCGCCAGCTTCCGGGACCTCAGCAGGCCCATGGCCGTGCAGCGGAAGCACAGGGAGCGCCACTACATCGACACGTACAACGTGAGTATCCATCTCCGCTAATGGCTTATGCGCACGATTGCGTTCAAACATCAGTAACGTTAACAAATAAACACTGGTTGACGAGTGCACTTATCGACTTGGGTTGTCTAAAGTCTCTCATATCATTATTACTTTTGAAGACGTTTTTATAAATCTTCTTTTCATTTTTGTGTCGCGTTATTGTACAAAGTAAATGTCATTATTTTTTATGTTATTTAGAGTATTCTTAAATATTTCAATAATTCATGAATAATTAATTTCTTGCATTTTGTGCTGTGTATAGTTTCTATTTTGATATGACGTGACGCATTCCGTGACTTGTGCGCCAGGACCTGGCGATGGCGCGGCGCGAGGGCTGCAGCCCGCTGGTGGCCCGCCAGGCGCACCACTACGCGTCGCTGTACAGCAACTCGGGCGGCGTGCTGCACTACCTCGTGCGCCTGCCGCCCTTCACGGAGCTCTTCCTCAACTACCAGGGTACACCGCACACCATACATATTGTCTTTACTAACATTTTAACTCTTCGGTGCATAATGTCGAAGTATGCATACCCTAATCTCCAAATTGTAAAAACTGAATGTAAAAAAAATTTGATTGTCGATAAAAATATAACCTTACGTTTCGGTGTTCGATTAAGATTTGATTTTAATAAAACGTATGATGAATGCATGTCTCGTCGTTGCTTAGACAACAACTTCGATATGCCGGACCGCACGTTCCACTCCCTGGCGACCACGTGGCGGCTGATCACCAACGACTCGCCCACTGACGTCAAAGAGCTCATACCGGAGCTGTTCTATCTGCCTGAACTGTTCCACAACAACGAAGGTAACATATAGTACTGTAATACTGATATTTAACTATTTCCATGCGCAGCCAATAGTGACAAGATATCAGTGAACCGACCGTCTGTTCTTGCTAATCAATACACGTGTACAAGCAGCAACAATTATCGCAACCACTGGCAAATATTATGGAAGCTAAATAAGAATAGTAATGTCAAACAGTCATCTTCAAATTGTAAACATTGCAAAAAGTAAATAAAACGAAATCCAAACTTATTTTAAATAGTTTATGTTAATAAGTTTTGAATGAGATAATTAACTGGTTTCTAATATTTTCATACACGCCACTCATTAAATATTTTTCGCGTTTAAGTCTCGAATATAGCTCGAGGCAGGTGGCAGATGTTTAATATGTTCATCGGGTTAACGACCAGCCTCGAGCGCCTGCCTGCTGTGTTGTCAACCACGACAAGTATCTACAGGCTCTCCTCGCGTTTTTGTACAATGTTTCCGAAATATGTGAGAATACGTTGACGACACAGAACACGGAAAAAAGGTTAGAAAGGCGATCATGCATCCTTTGTACGAAAACCGATGTCGCCAGTCTTGCCCCACTTTTCGTCCGCCGTACATCAGACGAAATATTAGACCAATTATACAAAAGATATGCACACACTTGAATTTTAAACTTGCCAATCGGAACGCTCCAATATAACTATAACCAATCACGCTCAACCATAACAGACATCTAGAGTGCGCAATAAACGTGTAAAAGCCATTTTAATTTGACATATCACACTAGTGATTGACATAAAGTTATTTACTATCGATATTGAAAAACAACAAGTCGATTAATTGAAAGGATACCAAAATAATGATTTCTTTATATTATTTTTGATATACATTGAATTGTATTGATTAAATGTGACATTATTTTTTTTCTTTAGATATTAATTGTTAATTAGTTGGTTGATTCAGTAACAAATATTTAAATTACTAATGAACTGACATTGAATCGGTACTAGTCGAGCTTAAATATTTATTTGCTTTGCAATGTGTTTGTTTATAAATAATAATAGTAGTGGGTAATCAGTTCAGTATCAAGTAAACAGTTAAGATCGGCAACATCGCTTACATGAAACTAGTAATATTGACAAACAATATAATGTAAATAAATATATACAAAATAAAAAAAATCAATTACTACAATAAGTGCTATTGGAACTTATCCCGAACGGATTCCGATGATTCAAAAAGTATTGTTGTTAGTGGTTCAAAATGAAAAAAAAAAACTAATTTTCTGTTACAATATTAAGAATATAAAAACAGACTTATTACCACACTCATTATTGAATTAATATACAAACGTATACCAAACGAAGTCAATATTATTCATCTCTGATTAAATTTATTTTTTATTACCGCTGTTTTAATTGTCCTTACTTTTATTTACTTTATACTAACCAACACACCAAGAATCGATTAAATGTTTCCACGTACTTCACTAGCCATCTAGAGTAGCCCGGGGGCGTAGTGGATAAGCGCCGCGGCCCACGATCGTAGTCGTTAAGCAACTTTCGCAAGGGTCTGTCACGGGATGGGTGACCAAAAAATTAGTTTCTCGAGCTAATCCGTGCTTCGGAAGGCACGTTAAGCCGTTGGTCCCGGCTGCATTTGCAGTCGTTAATACCCTCCAATCCGCATTGGGCCAGCGTGGAGGGTCATGGCCCATCCTCCTTAACCATCCATAAGGAAGGCCTGAGCTCCTGCAGTGGAGACGTAAAAGGGCTGATGGATACTTCACTAGCCATCTACCGTAATCTATTTTGTTGCTATTTAAAATGGTGATTTCGCGATGTTCTTTACATTACGTGCTTAGTACGACGTAATGTAATAAATATACCCACTTCTCCAGCAATGTATATTTTCTTGAAAATATTTTTTGTGATTCACACTTTTGATAACATTTCACGAATTTCGACTAAAAATACTAAATTTGAGAAGTGTTCTACTTACTAATGGAAAGAAATCGTTCCTTTGGACCTATTTGAGGATGGGCTTCTTATTTTGCAATTAATAACTGCGCAAGTCGGCATTTTTTAAACTTTTAGTGGCGTGTTTCACGGTACTTACAGTGTGCGCGTTCGTAAATGACTAAACATCGCGACCGCGTGGTGAAGCCACGATCCTGTACATTTGTCTAGGATCGTGGCTACACTGCCACGCCCACAAAGCCCTTCTAATATCTGTTGGCGATATACGTTTGATGAGCGAGTGTTCACTTTAAACTGAGAGAGACTAGATACGTTTGTGCGTTTGGCAGTCCAGGGTATCGTCAGCATTCGACTTAGAATTATCCACAACTCGACCCCCGATCTCGAGTGTGCGCGCTTAAGTGTTTACACAGTTATTATATAGTTTCATTATTTTATCATTACAAATGAAAATTTACAATCGGGAAGAAACTGAAAGCAAGTCTAAGATAAAATTTTAAATCATTTAAAATAGACTTTTCTTAATTCACTAAAAAATATTATTAATAAAAAATACGGTAAGATATTTAAATACTATTAATTTAAATGATTCTGTTCCACTTAGCGAAATAACGTATTTTACACTTCAAGAACGATAAAACCGGAGATTTTCGTAGTCTGGTGCAATCAATAGGATACTTATTTATTTGTTCTCAACAACGACACTTGTTAGTTTTGAATCCGCCCACCGTTGATACGTCAGGTCTGGATCTGGGCGTGCGCCAGTGCGGGCTGGGCGTGGACAGCGTGGAGATGCCGGCGTGGGCGGCGGACGCGCGCCTGTTCGTGCTGCTGCACCGCCAGGCGCTGGAGGCCGCGCTGGTCACGGACGCGCTGCCGCACTGGATCGACCTCGTGTTCGGCTACAAGCAGACCGGCCAGGCGGCCATCGACGCCATCAACGTCTTCCCCGCATGCGTCAGTTGTCACACTCTACACGATACCTACGACCGCGTATAGTTCTTTAAACACCTACGTTCCCGCGACAAGGAACCGTTTGCAAAGTTTCCTAGTTTTTTTCGTACCTTTGATTATGATGAACTTCCTTACGAACTTTGATCCCCCGTTTTAACCCCTTCTCTTCCTTAGATGTCAAAGTTAAACGAATATACATAATCATTTATAAACTGTGCGCATCGCCCCGATATATTTCATTACGGACCTAACGTTGAGAAACGAGTGGGGCGATATGTATCACGATTTGAATCCCTCAGACGTACTACGGCTTCGACCCCCAAGCGCTGGAGGACGAGGTGGACCGCACGGCGGCGGCGGCGATGGTCCGCACGTACGGGCAGGCGCCGCGGCAGCTGCTGCGCGCCCCGCACCCGCACGCCGCCCCGCACCTACCGCCGCCCGCCCCCGCCCACGCGCCGGTACCTACTCGTCTACTTTAAGATTATACTGGAACTCGCATACCCTTGTAACGCTATTGTTTCGGCGGCGCAGATAGAGGCGTACGGCGGGGCGCGCGGCGTGCGCTGGGGCCGCTACTGCGGGTCCCCCGCGGGCCCCGCGCCGGCGGTGGCCGCGCGCCGCCACGCCGGCGCCGCCGCGCTGGTGCCGCTGCACACCGCGCCGCACTCGCACGCCGCCGCCGCGCTGCCCAAGTGCGCCGCCCTCGTGCCGCTCACCGGTCAGTACGATGCACAGCAACCCTCGTGTGGTATTCAAACACAACCTTCGGTGCCAACTCCCTGCACACTCGATCGTAAATTACGCAAAACACTTCAGTTTATATTGACCGGTATCCGTCCACAGATGAGTCGGCGACTGGCGTGGGCCAGGGTGGAAATAAAGAAACCCTGTGGGGCATACTGACGTGGGGACACTGGGACGACGTGGTGAGACTCAAAATACGCCGCGACTCCCCGCCGGAGCCGTTGCTGTACGTGCCTCCGGTCGATCAGGTTCCTGCGTGCATTCGTATTTATTATTTTATTTAATCAGATAAAACAGCCTTTTACCTTTAATAACCTTTCTTGTAGTTGCTAAGTGGTTAAAAAGTTTACAAAACAAATATAACTATTCGTGTACTGTGGATTAAATTTATAAATAAGAATCCTTGTTGATCTTAATCTTGATAGCGAAATAAATACTTGATGCCCGCAAAAATGGCTTGATTGCAATGTGCAGAAAATGTGAATAAATATGTAAATTCTGACGCGGTAATATGCCTAATGTGCGGTATAAACCGTACAATAACAATAAAGACTATGACGTTTACACCATCCAATCCATAAATGATACAACAACAAAATATCTGTTACCGCTGGTGCCATCTAATAGTTTAAGGAAGGAAAGGCGCGGGAGCGTTCTCGCCGCCTAACTGTTGTCGTCGTGAATTCGCATACATATATAAGATGAATAACCGTTCGAGGAGCTCACTTTTTTCTCTATTTTTTTTTTTCACAATTTTAATTTTGAAATTATATAAATTATTTTTTGCAAAGTTGAAAGAAATAAAATTTCTTCATTTTGTCTACCACCCTGTTTCGTCAACGACCTGGCACTGGCATCCTCATAGCATCTGCAATAAATTTAAGAATTTATAAGTTAATCGACCAGCAGCTCATACACCATACGCTTATAAGTTTGTAAATTAGTAGAATAGATGTCAATACTATTCAATATTTTGTTGTATATCGTAATTAATAAAGCGAAATCTGCAGGGGCACCCATTACTATGGGCGTACATCGGGGGTCGGTATTAAGACCATTGCTTTTTCTAATTTACATTAATGATCTTCCTCACTTTATGAAGAATTTGTGCGAGACAGTGGCCCCTTTTTTCAGATGCAGATGACACGTCTTTTGTGTTTACAGTTAAGAGGGGTAATTATTGTTTTGACGATGTAAATGATGCTCTATATATGTTCTGCAGTACAACATATTTAATTCCAAATTTTCATTAGGATCAAAGGAAATATATACTGTGGTATTTTATTAGTTAGAGCCCGAGAAATTCAAATTGAAATATTTAAAGTACGATCGTTAAGTATCGAGCGTAACGTGGGGGAGGTGTGTATGTCCAGATAACGTGCGTGGTGTCTGTGACGGAGCGCACGTGCCCGGTGGTGGTGGGGTTCAGCAGCGGGCGCGTGGAGGCGTGGCGCGTGTGCGTGAGCGCGGCGGGCGCGCGCGTGCGGGCCCGCTGGCTGCACGCACACCGCGCCCCCCTCACGCACGCCGCGCTGTGCGCGCGCGCCGGGCTGCTCGTCACCGCCAGCAGCGACGGGTACATCGTGCTCTGGGACCTCGAACGGTAACGAACCACTGCACATACGTTCCTCGACCAATGCGCACACTGTATTACATGTATTACATGAACCCTCTATCTCTATTATAATCATGATCATCACCAATTCAGCCGAGAGACGCCCACTGCTGGGCATAGGCTTCCCCCGAAATCTCCAAAGCGATCGGTCCTACGCGTCACGCATTTATTATAATGGTACATTAATTTAAGTTGTCTTTGTAATGGACAGTTACTACATATTTTAATGAAGTCACTTTTCAATCTTAACGCTCTGTATGAAATAAAAGAGGGAGAAAAAAACAGCCCTCGCTGAGTTTCTTGCCGGTTCTTCACGGTACAAGGTCTCCGCCGTAGATTTACGAACCGATGGCGTAGCTCTCGACTTCACGAGTGCTTGTAACAGCCTAGGCTGAATAAAGAATTTTGATTTTGTTTTTTTTATTTATTTATTTTCAAAAACCGAATACGTCTTTATTAATATCTTACCTGTTTGTCCTTAGGCCTCGAATGTCTTATTATTACCGATCCGAATAATGGATATCGTACAATATTTCGATTTATACCGATTACCGATCGTTTCCTATATTCTCCCTCGACTCCATTCGATAGTGGTGATATAAAAATTATCTTCCGAATTCAGTTTATATTTTCGTATGTACATATAGTATACTAACACTAATGTTGAGGTAATGTTGTCAGCCTGACGTACATCCGCACGTTGCCCAACCGCGGCATGCTGCCGGTGACGCACGTGGCCATAAGCCCCACGCTGTCGGACGTGGCCACCGTGCACCGCACCGCCCCCGCCCGCGCGCCCCGCGCCCCCCGCCGCCCCCGCGACAGCCTGGATACCGAGCCGGACGTAACTGTCACACCATACCACAATACACGTGTTGCTAAATAAAAAAAACTCTAAATATCGATCCAATTATTGAAATACACATTTTTTTATAGTCTAATTCAGTATTTGTTAAGAAATTCGAGACTTGCTTGTCCCAAGTATGAAGTACTTTTATAGTATTTCTATGATATTTAATGTCTTCATTAAAACGGGTTAGCGAGACAGTGTCACGACTTTTTCGATGTGTATTTTCGTCAAAGACATAGTACTATTATAACAGGTCTTGAAACTCTGGAAGAATGTTATTACAAAACTCAACTTTAGTACTAAACCGTACTTTTCATTGTTCCTTTTACAGGCACTAATCTGAACCGAGAGAGATAGTCTCAACGGAAGCAGTGTATCTCGTTCTCTCATCTTGCCATTATAAAAAAAAACGTTGATTCATAACTTAAACTAAAATAAACTAAGTGTGAAACACTTGTATTTTAATGGATACTATTAAAAAAAAATTGAGTAATTATATTATCACATTTATTTCGTTAATATTAAATTATTACGAAAAGATAGTATTTATTAATGTAATATTTGCAAAGTTCGCAACTTAGATATCAATACAAATACGAAAAAGTACAAAAAGAATATGAGTTGTTTATTGAGTTTTAAAAATTATTTTACTTTTTTATAATTAATTAAAACCGGAAGGGTTGTCATGGTGAAATCAAGAAAGTGCCGTAGTGAGATCTATTTTGATTTCGGGAACTAACCTTTTTTTTAAATACATCCTCATTAAAATATTATTGTCACCCTATGTGAAAGGGACAAATAGCCTCTGTATTTGATATCTCGTTCGGCTCACTTTTCACCTTGAAGTACTCTGTCCTGATATATAAAACTAAGTCCATAATATTTGTAATGGTTGTCCAGGAGCGAGGGGACGCGTCGTCCGAAGAAGATTTCACGGCGTCGTACGAGCGAGACGAGCCGGACAAGTATCAGTCCATCATTAGAGTGCACACGGTCAACGCGCGGTTTGTCGGTAAGCACTTCACCGTTACATCCACTAGTGTTTTAATAAAAAGAAATCTTATTAGTGATCGGATGGGTAGATATATATACACGCATATATATATTTTTTTATTAGTAATGTTATTTAGGATATGTGTATAAAGACTCACCTCTAAGTTCTTCTCGTTTCTACTGATGCTCATAAGAGGATAACAAGATAACACTGCTTTGTTTACACATAGCATTTATACACAATAGTAATCTCCTTCGAATTATGCTAAATTATAATAAGTAAAAAAGAACTGTCAATTATGTATATTTACAAATTGTTTATATGAATACCATCTACTACCCCATCAATAGGTCTTTTATATTTAACTCCATTCCAAGGTTGCCTGGAAGAGATCACTTTTAGTGATAAGGCCGCCAATTGTACGTCTCCATTTTTCGTCATATAAATGTATTTTGTTTTGTGTGTACAATGAAGAATATTCTATCTATCTGTTTGAGTTTGCTCAATACTGAGTGCCACTTCAACTTGTGTCCTGTCTGTACGCGGCAACAAAAACTAATACTTGGCCGAGCACATCATGGAGGCACATACACATTTTTGTTGACATTTGTTTGCACAAAAAATAGACTATGTCTGACACTTTAATGATATTGCACCATACCACTGTTTCAACTTACTACATAACACGCAGATAAGATATGAGTCGTTATATTATACTATAATCTTCTCTCATCACTACATATTCTAAAACAAAGTCCGCCGCTGCGTCTGTTTGTCTGTCACTTCGTGAAAAACTTTTAAAAGTACTGGACGAATTTTCATACAGTTTCCAATAACAATAAGAGTGATCCACGAGGAAGGTTTTATTGTATAGATTTTGTGTAAACTCGTAAATGTGTTAAAAAACGTCGTACGTTATACGTGCGTATTGGTTATAACATGCTCGGCTCAATTCCGCCTCGCATATTATAACCATCATAACGCACTAATATCGTAATGTACTATTAACGACCGCCGGGTCGTTAAAAAAAGATTAGATTTAGCTATGACGTCGATAAAGAGATGCGTATGTATAACGGAACAAGTCCATATTAAAGAAAAAAAAAAGATAGAGATGCGTAACGTTCCGTATGGTGGTGGTTCCGCAGGCAGCGTGCGCGTGCCGGAGGTGGTGGAGTGCGCGTGCTACTCGGGCGCGCCGGAGGGCGTCAGCGTGAACGTCATCGCGGCCGGCACGCGCGCCGGCGCCCTGCGCCTCTACTCCTCCTGGGACCTGCGCCCGCTGCCGCCGCGCGCCGCGTCCGCCGCCCCCGCCGCCCCCGCCACCGCGCCCCCGCGGGCCCCAGCGCCGCCGCTCCTCGGGTGCGTAATAGCTCGAGATACCAATATTTTGGTCACCCGTCACTGTCGGTTTTGTTGATATGTTCATTTTGAAACTTTAATGAAGCATTCGATCGCGGTCCAGGTTGTCGTACAGCTCGGACTCGCAGGTGCTGTTCGGGTGGTACGGCGACGGGTCGGCGGTGGCGTGGGAGAGCGACCCCTCCAAGCCCGCGCCCCGCATCGTCCCCGCCCACGCGCTGCTGTGACCCCCCCGCCGCGCCCCTTATATTCTTATTCTGCACGTCGACCCCGGTGGATTAGTGTGATTAAATTAACCCGTCTGTTAATCTTGCCTTATAGTTAACTTCGTTTCACGTTGTCTGATATGTAATTTTATTGCTATCTCTTTCGATGTATACTCATATCGTGAATACGATTAAAGATCTATTTTCATAAAATCTTCCTTTCGTGGAACATATAGAACCAAAGTTTAGAAAGTAAATATAGGTATCTAATTTTTTACAATACAAAAAAAAAGTATTTTTACAGAGGCATCGAATAAAAATATATTTATTTTAATACGCCAACGTTTTAGATAGCGCGTGTTATCGTATTAACTTGTAAGCTTTAATATTTTACAGGATTTTTAACGTTTAATTGAAAACACGTATCAACAAAGTATGACTTTAGTTTTAACGATGTTTTAATATTGTATGCGTGAACGTGTTCTATACGTGTACGTGTGGCGAGAAAATTAACGGTCACACATTGCAAGAACGCAATATTGCGCTCGAATCGAATTTAAAGGATATTGTATTCGACGTGTGAGAGCGTTAAATTTCTCGTCTGTACATGAAAAGTTATATTTTTATATTTATTTTATTTCACTTAAAAGTTCCTCTGGTTCATACCGAATAATTTAAACCGTTGAATAGTGCCTAAATGATAATTACGACGCATATCAATATCGATTTTGTCGAGTGACATTTAGTAACAGTAACGTGAATCTTATGTAATGTGATATTTGAATGCCTAGTTGTTATGAAGTTTACATTGGAGTCTATATTCTTCGGTTATTTAATACTACAGCCCACGGATCATAATGAATTCGAGAGGCACGAGAAACGGACAAGAGCGAGGTCGTGAGTGAGATATTGTAATGGCATATTTCACCCTCGACCCGAGGCAACGATCGATACCTCGATCGTTTCTCGAAAGCGTTATGCTATGAGGGCAAATATTATATTGTTATGTAAGCTTACAATTATGATGTTGATGTCGCAAAAAATCAAAATATTATGTAAATACAGTAGTGTAGTATTGACATAACGCATTCCAGATTATGCTACTATTTATATGTATAGAATTATAGATTACAAAAAGTTTATGATATTATCTGAAAAGACTGGAAACAAAGTGACAAAAACTGTACATATTTGCTCAAATCAAATAGGAACTAAGCAATCTGATATTGACTACGTAATTTTCTTCCATCCATGATTTTGTTAATGTGTAATTGCCAAAATTATAAAACTGTTGTTTCTTTGTGTGTCGATAAGTTTATTAAAAGGAAAAATATATTCTAATATACAGTTTTTTCAGCTCATTTTATTTATGATCATTTTTAGTACCTCCCATTATGTTACAGTGTTCAATAACCATTAGCTAAAGTCGATAACGCTCAATGCACAACGAAATACTAACAACTTTTAGACATATTTATTATAAAATGATTAAAGAGGGCAAGTGTATCGAAATAGAAAGCTCCGTTTCTGATGACTCGATCTCGAACTGCGACAACACAATGTGAAAACCCCTGCGAAACCTACAGAATGATTACATTCATAGGTACCCAGAACACTCCATGAATGAAACAAGAACAGGATGTCAGTATACATATGAATGAAATAGATATATGTCTGTACGTACCGCGTAGTTCGGCTTTCGTAGTGTTCAAGTAACCAACTCAAAATTGAGCTTTATGGCGTTTGTATAAGAGTAAAATTATATTTGACTTTATAGCGTTGTGGAAATAACTAGTTATCAAAAATAGACAGTTTTGATATCGGTGGTTGGCGGTCCAAAGCCTTAGGTGATTTCAAAAACATAATGACCCATCGCTGATACATCGATATTATTTTATTATATATATTTTAAAAAACTATATTTTTTAAAACACATATTTCTGGACGATGAGATACGTTGGATTCAGCATCTCGCTCGATATCTGATATTTATAGATATGGGATATCAAACCGTATCGCATCGTTATTAATCAGTAATCGAAAAATATATGTCTTGTTATTTCTGATATTGTAATGGAAATAGACTTCATAATCTAATTAAGTCACATTCCAATAAGACTAAAACAGAGAGAACAAAGCAGCCCCTGCTGCGATTCTTGCTGGTTCTTCTCAGTACAAGGTCACTCCCCGTAGTTTTGCGAACCATTGACATACTTTTCGACTTTCACAAGTAATATGTAACAGCCTAGACTGAATTGATTTTGGAAGCATAATGACCAGTGGTCGGAATTAGATAGAGTTATTCATGTACTTACACCGATTTCATACAGCGAAAGAATATAGTGGATATGACTCAAATCCCGAGATTAATTTTAAAGAGCAGAAAAAATCCCGTGATTTTTTAAATAAAAAGTTATTTACTTTTACACAATTTAAACTACTGCACGCACGACGTTGCCAAACTTACATCAATGACATCGGATGTCCAAAGATGTCCAAGATTGTCCATTAGAAGGTCCACATTAATATCAACATTTCGATGCAAGTACATAAATAACTCTACCTAATTCCGACCTCTGCTCATTAGTGAGCGAGTGAAATAACAATATTCAAATATTTTTAGGATTCAAAACCTTAGCGTGTTAGAGTGAAGGTTGTTTCCATACTTTCCTCTGTATTTTGGGACTTTTTTAATAAAATTTTGTGAAGGATATTAAGCATACGAAAAGAGCATGCTTATGGACAAGCTCGCTAGTTAATCGTATGCCGGTTTATTTTCCCATGCTAAATTAGCTAGTGTGAAGCTGCTCGATTTGTTTTGTTAATTGTTCAATTGTTCACGATTGTATTCTCGACCGCTTGAAGTTACCGAATACAGATCAATTCACATATATATAGTTTTTAATTAAAATATGTAGTTTCAGAATCCGATACTGAATATCGATATATAGTTTCAAATCGATATTGTGAAAATTTGATATTAACCGCTACCGGAAACGAACTTTCCTCGAAATGAGGAAGTATTCGAAAAAAACATTAGTTCCTGAAATCAAACTAGATGTCGCTACGGTACATTCTTGATTTCTCCATGATAACCCTTCCGGTTTTCTTTCATGTTTAAAAGTAAATTAGTTTTCAAAACTCAATAAACAACTCATATTCTATTTGTACTTTTTCGTATATGTATTGATATCTAAGTTTCGAACTTTGCAATTTTCAGCTTTTTAATATGTCAGTTAAAAGGAACGGAAGTGACTATCTTTGGTCCACTCGTTTTCTGCAAAAAATCAACTTTTGCTAGAATCACCATCTAGTGGAGGTGCTTTTTAATGCTTTATTTTTTTAAACTTCCGCATTAGAGAAGTGACACTTGCAGCCAGTTGCACAAACGGTCATTAATTAGTCTTTAGTTTAAAGCGACAGTAGGCATATTCATTCATTAGAGCGTCATTAAACCTTAATGGATATTTGTGGAACTAACCGCTAGTGGTAAGGGAAAAGTTGACTCTATAACTCGAGTACATAGAACTCGGTTGATATGTTTTCACTCGAGTACGTGTTTTAAAAAATTCACTCGAGTGACTTTAGTAATCTGCTGACTTAGGTAGCATCACTATTTCAATGCACGTTTGATTTTTGTTATTCGTACGTAACACAGATTACTATAAACCAAAGATTACAATATTATTGTGGTTATAGTGTGGTTTTAAGCTTACTGAGTAATATAATCGGTCTACATTAAAATGGGATCTAAAAAGCACAAAAAGGAATCTAAAAAGAGGAAGCACAGGAGTAGATCACGTTCCCCTTTGGATGGCGAGGAGCGCGAAAGAAAAAGACATAAGAAACACAAGGATCGCAAAAAGGACCGCTCCCCTGATGGTTAGTTCTTCAAACCTTTTAATTTAACAATGCAACGTCAGAAAATGATGATAATCTCATTTGATCATCACCTATTTTTACTTACGAACATTGAATACTAAATTATCTATCTATAATAAACCGTGAGATTATCAACACTTCTGGCGGTGGTTTCGTTTGACTCGATAATGGCATACTTTGCTCATTATTTCAGACTCGGTGGCTTTCGAGTTGTGCCACCGCGTTGCGAGTGCTGCAGTGTAAGGTGGGTAAAAAATAACATTGTCAAGGACCAAATGTTTTCCAGTTGATATACAAATGCATATTTATGATCCCTGCCATACAAAAGTCGACATGAATCTTTGTTAGAGGTGTTGCTTAGATTTTTTTTTCTAACTATAGAACAAAAGAAGTGATATAAAATGACTTGTCAAAGTATCCTGAACATTTGTGCATACATATTATAAATTTACCATTAATTGGGGTAATTCAGTTACCAATGAAAGACAAGCTGAGCAGTATTAAAAAGTTATTAAGTTGCAACTGCTTAACAAGCTTATTACAACACTAACAGCAATGGTGTTAAAATGCTACTGAAAAGTATTGTGAGTATTGTGGTCTTGCTTACTCGGTACCAGAATTATGTTGAAGATGCAACTGCACATCATGCCTGTTATGTGTGCTCACACTGTATGTGGAAAAATTAATGCATATGAAACTATATTGTTATCCACTGACATAGAGTACATAATATTGAAAAGTGACAAAGTTGTATTGCAAGTTATATAAGGAATAATTACCTATACTATGTGGCTCATTTTTTACTGCCTTCCCACCCTTGGTGACCACTAATAGTACATATCATGAGACTACCCCACACTTTGCCCATTTAATTTTCTTGTAGTTATTTATTTATATAAAAGTATTTTCTTTCTTTTTTTTTGGCATCAAACAGTTTCATTCGTTCGTAATATTATTTAGAGATGTTTTAAAGAAATCTATGTTTGACAGTTTCTTAGTAAATACAGTGGTAGAACAATAAAAGAATATTTTTTGGGTGTAATTTTTCCTGCAACGCGGGGGTATAGGCAGACGAGTTTGACGGGTTATTTGACCATGGCTAAGAAGCTCTGACAAGTTGATAAATGAGTGTAAAATCTTATGAAGAAAAACTGTATCAAACATTACACGGCGATTGTGAAGAGTAAGCAAGTTACATTTAATAAGTGCTTCATTATATGTCATGTTACAGATGTAATTTCTATGATTAATGGTTTTCAAGATTTTTTTTAACTCTTTTTGATTCTGTTAATGTGAATGTTAAATGACAGCGGTTCCAAATAGTACTACATATTCAAGGATAGAGCAAACAAATGTAATAGTATGTTTTTTGAAGCATTTTTTGAATACAGAAGGATAAAAAACTGTCTTTTTTAGTATTAATCAATAAAAAAATATTATTTATCATTTTATTTAATTTATAAAAACAATAGTCTGCTAAGTATTTTTTATCTTCATTAAACATATGGCTAACAACAATCCACTCAAAAACATGATAGATCATGGTGGTGGTGGTGTTAGTTTCTCCTCATCAAAAGCCTCAACATCTATCCACTTCACACACTTGATAATTTCCTTCTTTGAGCTGGAAAATCTTAACATTGCCATATGATATTTAAATATAGCCCGAAAAAACCCAAGATTGTCCTCAGGAATGTAGACTATATATACTAGAAAACTGAAACTCCCAGCCTGCACCTGTGATGAAGTGTGCTATTCTTTTAAGATCCCTTCCCCCTTGTTACAGCAACAGGCTGAACTTATATCATTATTATAAAATATTATCATTAACAGTTCCTTGGCATTTTTCATATTTGAAATATTTCGTTTTAGTTATGGCTTAGTCAAAGTTCTCAACAGTTTACATTTTTTATGTGAATTTGAATTCAAATTTTCTAAGCATTAAAGATAGGAGTTATTGATTTCACGTCAAATAAACATATAAGATGTAGCAAAGTAACAGTTTATGTGACAGTAGTATTTGTTTGTGTAGTGGAGGAGGTGCCGGTGGACTCTCACCTGCGGGACAATGGCGCGCGCGTGCGCAGCCGCAGCAGCAGCGCCAGCGCGGACCGCGAGCGGGAGCGGGAGCGGGACCGACGCAACAGGGAGGTGCACCGCCCACCACGCGATGACAGGTACACATCACCTTTTGAAGTAAATTTAAATCATTAAAAGTAAAACCCGTTACATATTATTTTTTCCTGGTAGTGTTTAATATACTATTATCTATAATCACACTTTTATGCTCATTGTACGTGACCACTCACATGACCGCAAACAGCCGTGAAGTCACGCCCTTCTTACTTATATCAGAACTTAAAGAATTCAACCTTATGCATACATATACCTATATACGTTTGAGAGTGCCGTTGTTATACTGGTATATTTTTGATGTGGATACGTCTATGTTTTCGTTCTACAGGGGGGTCATTCTGTGAGCAGGAGTATATGCACTAACGCCATCTATTGGCGTATAAGTGAACTATGCTTGCTCTGCAGGGGGAGGGGCATTCTGTCAGCAGGAGTATATGCACTAACGTCATCTGTTGGCGCTAGTGAATACTATTTTCATTCAATAAATGAACGCAACGAATAAATATTTATTTAGTGTTTAGTGTCTTCAATTTGTTTATTTATTTTTTTATCAATTACTCATATATCCATTCATACATAGACGTATCCACGCAAAAAATATATCATTGTATCATTGATACAGCCAACCAGGGTTTTTTTGGAAATATTTAATGTACCTATATGAAATAAAAATATAATAAAGTTGTCTACAACACTATTCTAAGTGTATGATAATGACATCTAAAACAGGCAACTGTTGATAGGACAGAGCGTAAAATGCACAGGAGCTCTATTCTTGAATCATTCGTCTCGCGTCGAATACTCGTTTTCATCGATTTTTGTTCGACATAACAAATTCGCCTTTTTTATTTCGCTCAACTGCAACGAGTGGTATGTAGGTACCACTCGTCGTTTAGCAAACGCTGTATACAAGTGATAGAATAAGCGGCAAAATATGAAATGGGTAAATGTTGTTTATGGCCGTTTTGTTTATGTTCACAATTTTTTGTTTAAATATATAAGCAAAAATATTCTCCATACAATACGCAGAACAAATTTCAATATTTCAAATCTTGTTGGCCACTCTGCAGACGAACGATTCAAAAATACTAATAAACGGCGTCGTGCGACTTAGAAGTTGGGCGTGACTTAGGTCGTCATATACGGCAAGAAGATTTTAAATGAGTGAATGAAAAATAGAGCTCCAGGTGATTATTTTATACATATAATTATTTATTTTTTGTTTGAAAGTTTTCTCAGTTTCTATTTAAACTTAATTATTTGAAGGGGTAGCATTTCTTAGGATATTTGTTTCTTAGGATATTCAGTGGTTCCCACTGATCATAATTTCCACTGGTTTTGTTGATTATTGATGGATGCTGTTACTCGATGCAGAGATAAGAGTTTGGAGGTGGAGAGGGCTGCGTCTCCGGTGGGCGCAAGCGGTGGGGGCGGCGCCTCCGAGAGTCTCTCCATAGAGGAGACCAACAAGCTGCGAGCCAAGCTCGGTCTCAAACCACTAGAGGTCACCGAGAAACCTGCAGGTAACATACCTCATGTAGATATTGTGTTATTAGATAAAAATATTATTTTATATATGTATCCTATTATATTCCGCGAAACAAATTCCGTTCGATGAGAGTCGATCCAGAGGCTGTCATTTTGAAAAGTGATTCTACAAATTGAAATTCCCCAATTTTGGATACAATTAAATGTTATTAATAAAATAAAGTTAGCTCTTGTACATTTGTGCTCTAAGTATTAAATAAAATATATATAAAATCACAACAATTACAGATGATGGTAAAATCAAAGATGACTTGGGTGAATTCTACCACAAACCGGCCAGCAACATCACTCAACAGAAGAAAACTGAAAAACTCCGTGAGAAGCTCGAGGAGCGGAAGGAGAAGAGGAAACTAGAACAGAAGTAAGAGTATTGCGGATCTGTTTATTTTCATAGTCTAATACCCGGTATTATAAGTATTTAATATTGCAGTGAAATAGTTTAAAAGTGAATATTTTCATAAAATAATAGGGTATTTGACACTATTAAAAATAAGTTGCATGTTCTGGTCATCCTGTTAGATTAATAATCTAATAAAGTTTATTTCTTAGAATCTGCAGACAAAATATGTTTAGCTTTAGTAAAGAGAATGCAACGTTTTTAGGAATTTAATGAACGACAAAAATACCCTGTAATTAGTTGTCGTCACGACCAATAACGGGTTCTGTTTACAGGCATGTGACGTCACAAGTAAACAGAAAGCTGTTGTGTCAAAAAAAAAGTTTATTAGAGATACGCAAAATTTTTATTATACATACAATTTGTAGCTCATTTTTATAAACAAAACCACAGAAGATACAAATACAAAACATAAAATTATACTTCTCTAATACTATTCGTTTACTTCGTAAATAAATAGTTGATGAATAGGTTATGCCGCCATGACATATTTATCGGTGGGTGACGTCATAAATACCATATGATCAGTGCGATCGAGGCGTTTTAGCGAGCAGTTTTTTTTTTGCGCAATTATGGCTATTTAAACTTTGAAATTATTTTCATCTAAAATAGAACAGATTCTCATGAAATATATTGAAAGGTGTTTACAATGTATCAAATGACCATTTAAAATAGTTTTCAGAAAAGTGTCATATACCCTATAGTTTCTATTTGAAACTCGACAGGTTGAAAACTACATTGCTGGCGGAAGGTTCCGACGACGAAGACGCCTCCGCCTGGGTGAAAAAATCCCGCGAACTGGACAAACAGAAACAGGAGGCCGCTAAAAGGGTACGTCAGCTGGGTATTTTTTTTCTTATGCTTCGCACGGTTTGTACATATAGTCAGTGTCAAATCCAGCTCGAAATGTTTCAAGTAAGTCATAGTCCGTCCGTCAGTCACGTCAATAGGAGTAATGGAGCAACACAAGATATCACAACAACGGAATCGAGTTTCACCTTCTCTCCAATAGTGCACTTCCGCTACACAAAATTGAATAAAACTCCACTAAAATTATGCAATTTAAGTCGGAATTACTCCGGAAGCGATATTAGTGTTAAATAGTTTTGGAAAGGTGCGTCTTATAATCGGGGTGTGGTGGTCCGCAGGCGGCGATGCTGGACGAGCTGGACGCGGAGTTCGGCGTGGGCGCGCTGGTGGAGCAGGAGCAGCAGGAGCGGCAGCAGCGCGCCTACAGCGGGGCCAGTCTGGCCGGCCTGCGCGTGGCCCATCAGCTGGACCAGGTCCGTGCGGTGCAGTGGTGTTTTAGTGTAGGCGACGAGTCGAGTTGCAATACAGTGTACAGTGTATTGTGTGCACGTGTGCAGGTGGCGGAGGAGCGCGAGGTGGTGCTGACGCTGGCCGACCAGCACGTGCTGGCGGACCAGCCCGAGGACGTGCTCGTCAACGTGAACATGCTCGACGACGAGCGGTACAGGAAGGTATTGCCGGGGTTACATAAATATTCATTATCAGTTTTAACAGTTGCTCGTTGTGTGTGATGTATTAAAAATGTGCATAGGGTATAAATTCTTGTTTTCTTCGAAATGTGTTCCTCAATTGAACAACAGAATCTAAGAGAAATAACGTTACGACAAACTTTAAACAAGTGATGCACGATACTGAGATTATTCGGTCGAACAATGCGTTTTATATTTTACAACAGCTCGTAACATCGTAATATTAAAACTGGGAAGATCCGTGTGTATTTCATGGCCAGTTCGTAGAATTCACAAAAAATCTCTTCCTGAGACTAATGAAACTATTTTACAATATGATCACTTATACTTGGCCACATCATGAAGTAGTCACGATCAGCTGCCAATATCGTTAAATGCAAATTATTCATTGATCTGGCCAGACCACATCATGATGTGGGCAGCAAGTTTTTTCCATTTCATAAAATAAGACCATTTCATGAAACGATCAATTCTAAAATATAGCTACGACACACACATCCACCAACTGAGAGACAAGTAGTCTACGCGTCCTCTCGCTTTACTATTCGTTTCGTCGTGATGCAAGAAATACTATAGTGGATAATGATCATAAGTTACCGTATGTCAGAACATAGAGGAGCGGAAGAAGGCCAAAGTGGGCTACCAGGCGTACGAGGACGAGGAGGATGTGGCGGCGGCTGCGCTCGGCATCAGCAAGCCCGTGCTGGGCAAGTACGACGACGAGCTGCTGAGGGAGCAGCGGGACCGAGCGCGTGGCTTCGTCATCGGGCTGCACCAGGACAAGGCCACGGAACCACAGGTTGCTACACATCTTACACCACACTCGCATACTTAGGGGCCCCCTTCTGTCACATGGTTGTCTATACAAATTCTACCAAATATTGTTCTAATGTCAGAGTTCGTCGAAAACCCCCCTCCTAACGTGTGACGTAATTAATGGATGGCCCCTTATTGCACTTAGATAGTCTATCTCCACTGCCCACTGATGATGGAAATTGTAATTTATGCTAATGATATAAATAGAAAACATTTGATTGTTTGTTTGTATCAAATAGGTTTTAAAACTACTTGAAATTCTATCACTTACGTAAATTATGTATTTTGGTATAAAACAGCAAATAAATGGATATAAATTGGAGTGGCAGTTAGTATAGGGTATTAAAACATTACTACAGTAACCATTGTTTACTATTCTATGTGAGTATATTGTGTCTTGATATGAAACCTAATGAATTATTAAATGAAATTCTAAAGCTGGATTAACAAATATGGGCTATATTTTATATCACTAAAGTGTTCCTTGGGGATCACGCGGGCAAAGTCGCTGGTGGGAAACTAGTTTTAGATATTTTGCATTAGACCACTTAAGGTATATTTTAGAGCAGTCGCTGGGATTACGAAATTTTCAGGGTTCGAATCCCATCTCGAAATACCTGGTGCTGGTGGTTTTTTTAACGTTTTTCACCAAAGATATTAAACAGTAAATGTAAAAATTGATGAAATGTAATACAATTTATATCGTGTATTTGTACTTATTATCGTCCAACGTATTATTCAATACATGAGGCATCAGATGTACTGACCCAATGGATGTACCCCAGGTGCGGGAAGTACTTCTACGAAATCGTAGGCATCGAACGCAGGTGATTGGCTAAAGGCAGAACAGAGGTCCATTCGAAGCTATAATATGTTTATTTGAAAAATGTTAATTATTCTAGTATTCTATGCTTAATAAATCATTATCAGCCCTTTTACGTCCCTACTGCAGGGGTTGAGTGAGGCCTTCCTTACGGGTCGGATGGTTAAGGGGGATGGGCCATGACCCAATTAGACAAAATTAGAGGGTATTAACGTCCTGCAAATGCAGCCGAGACCCACGGCTTAGCGTGCTGTCCGAAGCACGGATTAGCTCGAGATAAAAATTTTTCGTTCACCCATCCCGTGACCGGCCCTTGCGAAAGTTGCTTAACGGCAACGATCGTGGGCCCCGCGCTTATCCTCTACGCTGCTGAGCTACTCATTAATAAATACATCGTGCTATATTGGAACAAGTATTCAGTAGTGTCATGTGTGTGTGTAGCGTACACTGGAGGTGGCGCGGCGGCTGCAGTCGCTGCAGGCGCCGGCGCCGCGACTGGCGTCCGACTACTTGGACCACCACGAGATACACGCCAAGTTCAAGAAGACCAAGCGGAAGGTATGCCCTAAGCTTTCAAAATAATAATAACGCCATCCTTGCTGAGTTCCTTGGTAAAATCTTTGCCGTTCTAAATAAATCAAGATAGTATCCTTATAAATGTATCTTCACTGAATCCAATAATTAAAAAGAAGAAAGTATTTATGTAGTTATTTATAAACTTAACTGTGTCCTTTGTAGGGTAAGATGCGAAAAAAACCTAAAGCGGAGCCCATCGACGTGGAGGAATACGAGGCCGGCACTGTGCCGCTGCACACGGACGATACAGGTACTCTCACCTCGAGTGTTAATGCTGCTTCCACATTTTACTTTTAACATCAAAATGAAAAGTAAAGGTTTTAATGCCTATTATCATTTTATGAATCAATAAACCCGACAGTATTTTTCTCCATCCATTGAACATTTTTTTTTTAATATTAAAATTCCCAAAAGTATTTAGAAATCGCTGTCTCTTTCATCATTTGTGAAGAATAAAAGTGAATGTTCATTTTGACCCGTTCGTAACACTTGGAATGGATTTTTGGAATGGATTTGGCGGTACCATACGTCATCTGTATTTTGACTTTTAATTGGATTATCTATAGATTTATATTACATACTTATCGTTTCTCCGTTAACGTGGCGAATTAATCCGTGTGACGATACCGACACACAGGCCGGGAATTATGTTTTTTTTTTAAGTAGGGCAGATACTTTTTTAGGCGCCCTTCCTCTATTACCATCTGGGCGTGCGCAAAAAGTGAATGTTCATTTTAAACATTGATGAGTTGTGTGCAGAAGTGGTGGCCGGCTCGACGGCGGACTCGACGGCGCTGGACTCTGACGAGGCTGAGCCGGACCGCGACTTGCAGGCGGCCCTGGCCCGCGCGCGTGCCCTCGCCCTGCGGCCCGCCCACGCCCCCACCCTGCCCAAGGTACCCTATACACACCCCTACACTACATTACACTATATCGAGGTATTTCGACTACTGTGTACCTATTGTTTAGGCAGAATAAAATAATAATTCCCATTACTTTCAGGTTACATTATTTGTAGAGTAAAATTTATCTAAATAATGAGCAAAAAAATACATGCCTTTGTTACATTTGGATACAGAATGGTAAAACACAGATTGTAGATTCTATTCTGTATACATCTTGAAAATTATATTCGCAATACAATTGCACAACATATATTCTTCAATCGATATATTTTCTTGATTATTTATTTAATGCAATTATTCAATTAGAACGCTAAAGGAAGGGGATGTATTAAAGATGTTAATGAACGTCGATAAGTCGAGTGGAGTAACGTTTCCCCTGCGTCAGGTGGAGGAGGTGCTGCAGCACGTGAAGGAGGAGGAGGCGGTGCCGGAGGGCGGCATGCTGCTGGACGCCACCGCCGAGTTCTGCCGCACGCTCGCCGAGCCCGCCCTCGCGCGGCACTCGCTCGCGGCACGTATATACCACTGTACCACTATACCACTATACCACTGCCGTACACTTTAATGACGCACATCCTTATTCTGACTCGATTATGCACTCCATTTGTTTAAATCAGTTAAAATATTGTATTGTTAAAATTACCATTGATTTGTATCTCTGCTGTTTGTCTTATACTGAGTTCTAATAATTTTGTACCAGACTTCTTATCTTTAATAAATTCTGCAAGAAATCGTCTCTCCATAACGTTGCTGTGCTCGATAGGGTCTATAGTTTGAATTTAATAATATATTGTTACCTCTATGTTAAGGTTTGCAATAAACAATTGAGTATAGGGTTTTATGATATTCAACAACCGTAGTACAGCATTGTTTAGTCTCTATGAGTTATTCCAAAGTATGTTAAGAGAGAACTGTAAATTTAAAAAAATTATATAAATGTAATTCTTATGACAGGCACCTGAAACAATCGAGTAATAATAATGAAGCGTAATGTATAATGGTGCGTTTGTCTGTGGGCGTACAGGAGGTGGAGAGTGAGGAGATGGAAGCGGAGGCGGAGGCGGAGGCGGGCGCGTGGAGCCGCGTGGACACGCGCGCGGACCGCACGCCCGACCTGCACGCGGGTACGTGCCGCTCGGCATATATCAGTTTACTGGAGATAATGTACTAAGTACACTTTATAAGGAAGTCAAAATACTACGAGTCCGACAACTATACGTGTGGCGAATTGTATGCATCCAACATAAAAAACTTATTAACTCCCCTGAGTACTATACATTGGCTAAAAGCGTATATTTAAGGTCCCCCTGTCTAGTGTTCGCACCGTATTTGCCCAACGTTTCCCTTTTTTTTCCCACCCTTATATCTACAATAGGATTAACCGTAAAAGCCCGGTACATAGTTTCAGCTTGCGTAAAGCTAAATTAGTTACCAAAAACTTGTTGATGTGTCTGAACTATACAAAGACTGAACACCTCCTTCCATTGAATGGCTGACATGCTGCCCTTATTCTTCACATCACACTTTACACTACACAACCTACACACCTTTGTACACCCGAATGAATGATCGCATCTATTGTTTAAGTATTAATAATAAACTGATTTATAAAATTTGCCTCAATTATTTGAGTTAAGTGTGTAATTATTATTCTCTTCTCGTGTTCACCTTCGGTCACTACTGTTCAGGTCTGCGAGCCTAGTGTAGCTAAGTAACTGCACACTGTTTGGATAATAAACAATAGCTTTATTTGATTTGAGTAGTAACCAAATTTTTAAATGACAAATGAAATAAACACGGTTACCAAGAGAGCAGGACGCGTCCTTATATTGACATGTGTATTGCCGTGGGCAGGGCCGGTGTCAGGGCTGGAGGCGGAGCCGGCGCTGGGCGCGGGCGTGGCGGGGGCGCTGCGCCTGGCCCTCAGCAAGGGCTACCTGGAGCGCGCCCCCAACCTGCCCCCGCCGCGCCCCCACCACCACCACCTGCTGCACGCCGCGCACTACTCCATAGAGGACAAGGCCGCCCCGTACGTTGTACACGATACTATGACGCCTTATGTGTGCGTATGCGTATATCTGTAATATTGTAACAAGCTTCGTGTCCAGGGAGGACGACAAGTACGGTCGCCGCGAGCGCGGCCACTCCGGCCCGCTGCAGGAGTTCCGCGAGAAGTCCGCCTTCCGGCCCAACATCAAGCTGGAGTACGTGGACGACGACGGCCGCGCGCTCTGCCCCAAGGAGGCGTTCCGGTACCTCTCGCACAAGTTCCACGGCAAGGGGCCCGGCAAGAACAAGCAGGAGAAGCGGATCAAGAAGGCCGTCCAGGAGGGGGTCAGTGTGCATTATCTCGCGTATATTCAGTATAGAGGCTGCAATTCACCCGTTCGGTCTGCGATCGTGGATGTTGAACGACGTCCGCGAGGACAGGTTGTAAGATGGGCAACCCAATATATGCTATTTCGGGCTCATGCGTGGTTCAGAAGGCGTCCTGAACCATTTTATGCTTTATTATCCTTTTTCCATAGACAATGTTTGAATCGCGACGCAGATATCTTTTCACAAATCCATAGCAATCTGACAATTATTCTTTAATATTATTAATTCCATATTATGAGTGAAACAATATTGGTAAACGAGTGACAACCAACTTGTCTACTTACTCGTTCTTCAATCGAAAGCTACCGTTTAGATTAAAGCATAAAAATCCTTTTGTTCATGAATACAACAGTAAATGGAGCTGAATGGATTTTTGAATAATCGTTAATGATGAGTGTTAAACTGTCGCAGCTGATGAAGAAGATGAGCTCGACGGACACGCCGCTGGGCACGCTGCAGATGTTGCAGGAGAAGCAGCGCGAGACCCACTCCGCGTACATCGTGCTCAGCGGCAACAAGCGCGACCAAAACAACTAGACCCCTCGTCGACACCACACCGATCATATTATTTTCATTTAGACGTTCCAAGAACAAAAATGTCTGATCAATTTTACCCTTATCCTTCGTTTCTTTCACTCCAAATTATTTTGCCTTTGTTGCGATGGAAGTGTATATGAGTTTCCAGCTTATTATCACTCATTCTCAAAGACCCCTTTTTAAATGAGTGCTCTGAACTTTGTTTTCCTAACTATGCATTATTAATTCGGCTCGCGTGAATTTTGATTAGTAGTAATTTCTGTCCGGTTGGAGTCATATTTTAATGTACTTACAACTCGAGCACTGGCCGAGGCAACTCGACAATTGAACATACTAACATAAGCACATAACATTATATAGTGTAGATGATACAATGGAAGTAAGTATTTAGTGATTTTAACATACATATAAGCGGTAATAATAAATGTAACATTCGATCGTTCTGTTCGCGATCGCTGGACGGTCCCGCTTCGGAAACCACTATCGAGCAATATTGGAATTAATCTGGAATGAATGTTTTCGCAATGTTAGTTGGTAACTAATATCTGGAAATTTTAAAATAAATGAAATTATCACATAGCCACACGTTTGTTTTATTTCGGTGACCTTGAGTAAGTAGATTGATTTTTGATACTTGCATCATAAATAGAGATCATCAAAATATTCGAAAATTTAGCGAATACTTCTTTTTTTTACGTTTTCTAACTTCCTGATGAATATAATGATATGTTTCGAATCAATGAATGTTGAAATAATATTTTTTTACATGTTTTGGTTTTATGGCAAATGAAAAGTGAAATAACTGTGTGCACACAAATAAAAAACCTTTATAATAGTTAATTGTATATTATTTATTTATCAAAGATATATTCGATAAGCTACATAATTCGTACACTTTGATTACAAGACAAAGCAAATCTTACAATTATATCGAAAAGAATAAACGAAGCATCAATACCTTACACATACATCCAGTTTCTGAATTGAGAATGTAAAGTTAATCAAAACTCAAATTGTGCTTACACCATTTCGAAGGTCATTTAGACATGTTTGCGTTTCTGTAGTTTAATAAAACTAGGACTTTTTGCCTTGTGACAAGCAAAAAAACCTAAGTTTTTGAGAATAATCAGTTAAAATTTTGTACTGTTCTCAGTTAGGAAACCGGCCAATAGTCTTCGTATCTATACGACCTTGGATATTTACGGCGTTAAGTTAGGAGTTATTCAGCGGGTGGGTGCTGTTGGTTGGGCTGGTGGAAGTGTGCCTTACGCGCGTGTTGCGAGCGGAGCCTGGTGTCGCGCACTAGCTCGGGCGTGGGCGGGCGACGGACCGGCGTAGTGGACGCCATGCGCAGGTGGGCGTACAACGGGATCTGTACACACGGACAGGATAGGTGACACATTACCTAGCCACATACAACTGGTGCGGATAAACGAAAACCTAACTCGATACAGTAGCATAGTTTACATTCTAAATGGTTCAATTAATGTTTCAGATTTAACATGTTAGAAATAGCGGTGATTTCAATGTTTTTGAATTCAAAAAGTTCAGACCTGCCTGGTGCTACGAGCAACCATAAAAGTGACAGTCGAAAACTTGCCCTGTCGGTTCGTAAGTCGAAATGCAGATTCTGATTCAGATCTCGTTCCGATGGGAACTGGCGAGATCTTCCTGTCGTCGTCCCCTCCCCTTTTAATTCGATAGATGAATGTGCGTGGTGGTACTGACTGTCTGCAGCGAGTCGTCGAGGCGCACGCGGTCCTGCCGCTCGGGGCGCGCGGGCAGCCGGAAGTAGCCGCCCAGCAGCGGCTCCTGCGCGGCCGCCGGGTACGTGCGCGTGCGCAGCTCCACCTCCGTGATGTCGCGCAACTTGTCCACCTCCGTCTGCCCGGGCACGAACCGCGACACGTACCCGCCGCGCCACACCTGCCACCACAGTATCGTCGGGCTTCGAAGCTAGCAGGAAAGCGAGGCCGAAGAAAACCGACCGTGCCCAGATAGCAATTTAAACTTGTTTCTGACTTGCAACAAGTTTGATACATCAAAAAAGAAGACTTACTTCAAGTTTTCCATGGCAACTGCAGCAAGTTTATGTCACACATAAGTGTAGAAAACTTCTCAATAGAATTTGTGTAAATTGTATGGCACCAACAATATATAATAAAATTCCGCTGTCTATTAGATCGATAAACGATAATAAACGATTTAAAAATGCACTCAATGGCTTTCTTGCTGAAAAAGCTTATTATGACATTAGAATGTTTTTAAATGATAAGTTTAACAATAATTGACAAAACTAAAATTAATACTTAGATTTTAAGTGACATTGTTGTAATTTTTAATTTTTATTGATATCTGACATTTTAATTTATCTAATCTAACATTTTAATCCATTTACTTAATAAGAACTTATAAGAATTGAAATAATTACTTTAATTTTTTATTGACATTGTTGTAATTTTTTTTTTTTATTTTTTTTATTGATATCTGACATTTTAATCTATATATCTGTTTTATGTTAATTACATTAATATTTTTACAATGTTCATATACCAATTAAGGTGAATCATGGATGACCTTTTGTTTTCTTTATTACACCAATGTATTGTACCCATGTTTATGAACAAATAAATGAATATGAATATGAATATTTATTAAATTTTTGGAAGACTTACAGCTATACAATGAAAAATCTTATAAAACTATAATAAAGACAAAAAGCCAATTAAAAGTCCCCACCATTAGTAACAAACTACTCTAAATATGTATTACAACAGCCTATATATTAATCACGCATCATAATCAGTTAATGGTATATAGGTATTACATGGTACTCACAAATCGTTGAAGAACATACTACTTAAAATACGCCTTGCCGATACCTCACTAGTGTCGAAGAGATCTAAGTTAGCCTGCCTTGATAGGTCATTGAAATTGTTAAGAGCTCGCCAAAGATATGCATTTTGTCTATAATAAGTAGAAACAGGAGGGATATATAAAAGAGGATTGAATCTGAGGGGCTTTGTTGGGGTTCTAAGAAAAATTCTAGAAACTAATTCAGGACAATCAAATACACCAGTTGCAATTTTCATTAAATATATGACGTCTGCAATCTCACGTTGCCTTTCCAATGGGAGCAGATGATGTTTTTTGCAAAGATCCATATAGCGTCTCGAGTCCTAATGATCCTTAGTGCGAAAACAGAGATATCTCAAAAATCTCCTCTGTATAGACTCAATGCGCATTATATATGTATTTATTAAAATGAGCTTAGTATCTTGGAGCACTGACAACAAATCAAAGTTTATAGTTTCAGTCTGACAAACTTGCACTACCTTTGACGTATCAAAGGTAGTGCAAGTGTTTCGAATACCTAGCAGGTACTCGGGACTCGAGTACCTGGAATACAGGTTTCGAGGCAAATGTTACTTTAAGTTTGCTAAGTTTTTATAATCTTTTGACCATTCAAAACTTTTGGTCCAAACGCGGTTGCGACTTTAAACTCAGACCACAGCACAGAGCCTAGCCTAAGAGCCAAAGTAATTACTGGAACGGTTGGTTTCGAATCCCATATTAAGATCACATTAGACGGCTTATTGCTTATACAATCTAAACTGATACCGCGATGCATTAAATGAACAGCGCCATCTAGTTTGCAGACTTAGAACTATTCGGGTATCTATGAAGATGATGGGTGTGTTACATATCTTTGTCATAACAATATTGTCGCAAACTTGAAACTTCATATTTAACATAACAATATTGTTACAAACTTGCCTCGTAGAAGTATTTGACGCAGCAATTTAGAATCAAAGAAAAATCAAACTTGCCCCAAGTTACCATGCTATCTGGGCATGTATGTAAAAACGAGAACGTATCGTGGAGTGGTGACCTTGAGCGTGGTGAAGCTGGCCACCTTGCGCACGTCGGGCGGCAGCCGCGGCCGGTCCAGGGTCCAGGGCACGAAGCTGCCCAGCGTCTGCAGGTACTCGCCCGACAGCCGCCACACGCGCACGCTGTAGTCCGAACTGCCGCTGGGTAGCACGCGGGACACGGAAATGTTTATTCATTTTATTAGCTGAGGCAATATAGGCCGAGGTGTGGACGGGCCATACCTGAGCAGCAGTTGCAGGGGCGGCACGTACGCCAGGGTGGTGATGCAGCGCAGGTGGGCCCGGTACGAGTTGAGCAGCAGCGGCAGCGGCTGGTCCCGCACGCGGCGCTTGGCGCGGCCCTCGATGCGGTCCCGCCACAGGAACGGGAACGTCAGCCGCAGCCGCGGCATGCTCACGTGTTCCTGACCGATAGTCTTGCGATAATCCATCGTCACCCCAGGAGATTCGTATTATCAAACATTTTGTTTTGTAGTTCACAACAGTTCCCGAATTTACATCATCGTCCTACGATAGAGTGAACGAGACGAAACGATGAAAGTCAACACATACGTGCTCTCTCCCCTCCCCCTGCTGACATTTTTGGTCGTGTGAATATAATTTCGCTCACCTGGACGGTAGTGAGGTAGTTGGTCATGAGCCAGACCTTGATGTACCCGACGGTGGTCCCGGTGAAAAGGTACCGGTTGTCAGGGTCGGTGGAGAGGGCGGACACGTAGTCGCCCGCCGCGTGCGCCGCCTGGAAGGAGCCCTGGTAGCCCCCCGCCGGGTGGTCCGACCACCCCTGCACCTGACCGTTCTCCAGGGACAGCATCAGGGACGCTGACGTGAGTCACGTGTATCAAATCACAATCTAAATCATTTCAATATTCAATCCAGAGTACAAAGACTAAGTGCTCTTCATACATACGCAGTACGCACCGAAAATGGTTTGTATGTGAGCGCGCCCGTGCGTATGCGTCGTCGCACGCACACACTTACAAAATTATCGAAATTATAGGAGTTTAAGGCGCGAGTGGCAACTCGTCAGTCGTGGCTAGTATGCCGTGCTTGCGTATATTCCATGTCATTGTATTGCCGCTCCTTATACAATTTGTGAACGTACACAAGATGGCTTTGGAAACTAAACCAAATTGTATTGTGTGAGAAATGTGTGTTCAAGTGTACCGCACAAGACGTCTTTGGCTAATGACAATTTTATGTCTGCGGTTCTAGAGTTTAAAATGTGGTTCATAAGGCAAATAATATTCTTCTTCTAATCCTGTATAAGTAAGAAATTCGTCAATGATCACTGGGTCTGAATTACAAAGAAACAGAAAATATCATCTTAAAGATAAAAAAAAATTAAAAGACAAAGTTCTACAATTATTTAAAATATAAATAAGCAAATAATGTTTTAGGATAAGATAGGAAATGACTCTCAACTTGATCGCAAAACGTATTGAGTGAACGAGCTTTCTTAATACATTCCGGGAATGAGGTCTAAAGCCGCACAGCATACACAGAAAAGGAGTAGGAAACAGTCTGTAGAGTGGGGTGGAATCTCAAGAGTGAGATTAGTAGAGGAACGCAATGAACATTGTGTAGAGAAAGAGCGGAAGAAGAAGCATTTTATATTTTCATAAGATAGTATAGAACTATAAGTCAGTATAGAATAAAGAACTGTAAGAGCGTGCAAGTCCCTACGCCGGCGAATATCGTTAAAGTTCATTTTATTGTATATTGTTCAGTTTATATCATTTTTAGTCCGCTTTTTAGTACTCAAACCTTTAGTCTAGAAGTTCATATTTTTAGCACGTATTTTTTTTATTTTAGTTAATTGTAAGATATTTTCTGAACATTCATTGATATAGTTTACCGATTGCACTAACTAGCAGACGAGCCGAGCAAGCACGCTCTCTCCCGCAACTTTTTGCACGCAGTATTTGTCAGGTGTCGTGTCAGTTAACTCGTACGAGTCGGTAGTGCAGTGTAGTGTAGGGGCGGGCGATGTTGTACCGGTGCGCATGTCGCAGGGCCTTGTGTCCAGGAACGTCATGGCGTGCGCGGCCAGCGGGCGCACGCGCGCGGCCTCCGCCAGCGGTACTGTCGACGCCACGCGCGCGCGCGCCTTCGCCATCGCCGCCGCGCTGCTCACCGCCTCGCGCGCGCCGCCCATCCTACCACACGTCTCCTCTCTTAACACCATGACTATTGTCAAAAGTATATAAGCACGCGCAGTCTGAAATCTATCCACAATAAATTCTTACTTGCTCACTATTCATCTTTTTTAAGAAATTCTTTCCATTATTACATGTCCAGGCTGCAGCACGTTAAGTTATACAAACCTGTCAAACCTTTTTCATTTGATATAAATCCCTACCGCATTCGGGGTAGTTTGACAACCGACCGCGCTGACGTGGTGCTGTCGGTTAACTTTCTGTCACGCAGCATTAATTAGTGTGAGGCCCGTACCCGACGTGCTTGAGGGCGGAGGCCCGGCGGCGCGCGGCGGCGGCGCCCGGCTGCGGCGAGGCGGCGCGCGACGCCTCGCGCTTGTTGTAGTGCATCTTGATACGCAGCATCGGGTCCGTGCACGAGAACCGTCTGCCCACATAATACGCACACACCTCCTCGCTTATTTCATACGTATACATACCTAATTTTATTGTTAAGACTCGTGCAAAACCAGAGCTGAATAGTAAATATCAGAAAACATTACAACACCAAGACCCGAGACAATACAGAGAAGTTCCTTTTCTATATCGACCCGATTCCTTAAACGAGCTTGCGAGCCACACGATATTTTAAATTGCGATTAATACAGTCTTATTTTTTGAAGGAAGAATTCTTTAGATGTCATTTTTATCTTTGATAGTGGCGACTTCGTCCGCGTTTTCCATTATTTCTTCGCTCCTAATAGTTGCAGCGTGATGCTATATAGCCTAAAGCCTTCCTCGATAAATGGTCTATTCAACACAAAAATATTTTTTCAATTCGAACCAGTAGTTCCTGAGATTAGCGCGTTCAAATAAACAAACAAACTCTTCAGCTTTATAGTATTAGTATAGATAAAAGTACGTGTATGTAAAAGAAGTAAATTGCATATATTTCGTAGTTTTTTAGGGTTCCGTACCCAGAAGGTAAAACGACTCATTACTAAGCTACGCGGGCCATCCGTTTGTAATTAATTACGCTGTATCACATAAACCGTAATACCCAGACAGATTTTACAGATGATGTATTTCTGTTGCCACAACAACATATACAAACAATTACTAACAGAAAAAAATATATAAATATATAAAGCATTTGTTACAATGGTATGGTACATACTTAATGGTATGGAATAGTTAATCGAGTCGCACTAATGGTTAGAAATAAATCGAACGAATATATATAGTATCGTATAGGTGGGTAGGTATACCTGTACGGCTGCCCGGTCTCCAGCTTCCACAGCAGCAGCTCGGAGTTGTAGGAGGCGGTGGCGAGCGCGAGGGGGGCGCGGGCGGCGGCCGCGAGCACGTCGTCCGTGTGCCGCGTCTCCCAGCTCTTGCCCGTGCTCGCCGTGCCCGTGTCCTCGAACTCGGTCACGTGCCGGTTCCACCCCACCGCCAATATCCTGCCGGACACTCTCTATAAATGTACATTGCAGGAGCTCGTAACATAAATATTATACTTTTGTGACTTGAGTATGTCGCCCCCAGGTTTTCCAGCGCCTGACCTCCACACTGGGTGCTGAGTGATGTATATCCTTGGTCCTGCCTCATAGTGAAGTATCGACCATTACGAAACTTGCATATATTTATAACGAGCTTCCGGTATAATACGCGCACATTGCATCGGTAACCGTGTTTCTTCTTCTTTCTTCAACGGGCTTCTCCGCAACTCGACGACCAAATTGCACCTATTTTGCGTGTGGAGGGTGTGACCGGATACTACTCTACCACGGTAACCGTGTTACACGGTTATCGATGCGATCTCAACTACTTATAGTTAGCCATTGTACAATCTACCTGAAGTTAAATATTACTACATATACTTATATCTGTTGTACGAGGAAGACGTGTACTAATTGGACTTAAGGTAGAAAATACAAATTGTATAATGCTGGTAGTTGAGATTGTATTGTGATGCGATTTATTATATAAACATTATGAGTAGAATTGGCCCGCGGGTGTTTGCGATTTTGTTTTAATCGTGCAACCGCATGTCATCTACGAAAGATGTGTCCTACGTGGGAGGGAATGTCCAGGATATTTCTTTTCATTGTTATTTCACCTTCCACGTGTTCTCAAATTTTCTAAATAAGCATTATTAGTATCTATAACCCATTATTTATATCAGTAGGTATACCTCCCTTCCACCCAGAAGCAGTTGGTGACCTCGCACATGTGCTCGATTGTCATAGTTCTCAAACACAAGCCCGTGTTGAAATTCCACACCTGTATTAAAGATGAACTTCACAAAAAATTGTTTTCGGATGCACAGTATATACAGGGGTACAGTTTGCAAATATACTTAGGTTCGTATCTTTCCTATGCGTTGCAAGTTTCGCAAAATATATTTTTTATGGTAAACCTACGAGTCGTGTCCTGCGTAAATCAATCTCTTCTTTCAGCTTAATAATGAATACTATGTGCGATAGTGAGACGGGATGGGAGAAGTGAGCGGTGGAGGTGGACCTTGAGCGTGCCGTTCCTGGCGCCCGTGAGCAGCAGCTGGTGGCCGGGGTCGAAGCAGGCGGCCGTGATCTCCACGGGCACCAGCTCGCCGTGCACCTGCCGCGTGTGCGCGTCGCGCACCATCGCGTTGCGCTTACCTTACATCGACATTATCGTATATAGTATACACCGTACACACACTAGGGACATAAATAGATTGATACTTTGTTTCTACTCTTGATGCACTAACGGACAATAGCACCTTTGGAACGCACAATCATTTAATGCAATAGAAATTTTCTATTTTAATTCGACATTATTCAAATACTACGTACCTGTGACCGGATCCCAGTTGATGATGATGCTGTCCATGCCGCACGTGATGACCACCTTGAACAGCGGGTTGTAGAGAATCTTGGCGACGGCGCGCGAGTGCGTGAACCCGTCCGTGTGCTGCGGGTTCAGCTGCTCGTCCAACACCAGGACCGCTATCTTGATCGCGGCCAGGATGTACTCGCGGGTCGCCGGGTTGTACACCGCCGAGATGGGGGTCCGCTCGCCCACTTGAGGCGGAACGTCGATGTACGTCTGATATGTATATATGGCGATAACTTAGAACAGTCCAAATTTCACCATTAGTTATCGATAGTCTGCTGTGTATATCTACTTACTTATGACCATAGGCAGGTTAGAAGACTTTACTGTGAACGAAACAAATCTATATCTCTCTGTGCGTGCCGCTCGTTAAATGTAGGAAGCCAATGAAACTGATTTTTTCTTTCTTTTTCGGAATGTGTGCTTTTTAGGTGGTTCACTATCGCTGAAACCGCAGGTACGTGTGGGAAGAGGTTCACCTGCAGGCACACGTGCCCCTGCACGTCCCAGACCTTGATGACCCGGTCGCGGGCCAGCGAGTAGAGCGTCTGGCCCTGGTTCTGCAGCACGAGCGCGGTGATGCCGGCGTGGTGGCCCGCCAGCGCGACGGTGGCGCGCGCGGGCACGAAGGGGCTCCACACGCGCACGGCGCAGTCCGGCCCGCCCGTCGCCAGCACGTGCGCCTCCGAGTCGAACGCGAAGCACTGGATGCCCTGCGGCACCACCACCACCGCCACCGATCGAGAGATCACTCCACACCCCCATCATATATATTAAAGCACCCCGAATAATTACAACGGAGCCTGATCGAGGACACTTGCAATCCCGCAAGGAAATTTCGCGCCTGGTATTTGCAGGTCTGTGAGATTCCGCAGGCTGAACACTTCTCTAAAGAATTACGAAAATGATAAATTTAAAGGGGTATAACTGAAAAACTAAAAATTCTAAGTATCTACATTTTCAATTATATCTCCTTCGTTTATTAAAATTTACAAAGATATGAGAAAAAAGAAAGAAACCATCAAACATCAGTTTGAACATTGTATCGACAATTGAACGGCTCCTAACTTTACAAATTTTCGTGGGCCGGTGGCAGCGCTAGGTGTAGCTCACGCTTGTAAATCGTTCGAATTTCGCAAGCTTCCCATCTCGCCCAGCGCAAACTGCAACCGAGATTAATCCCGTAAAAAAACATGCGGGATTCCGGTATCTCGATATTGCATTCCCTACTTAGAATTAGAAATGCCGGAGCCCGAGGGCGTTGTTGGCGGCTCGACCGTAACGAACTGCCAGCTAGGCAGGTGTGGATCCCCAACAATATTTAAAATAGTTTTGATCCGACATAAAGTTACCTAGAATAAAATCGATACGATATAAAGAGTAGATGACCTTATCGACGCGGAACATATTGTAAGTCTTGGAGCCCTGTATGTCGCACATGAGCAGGGAGTCGCTGCAGGTGGCGCAGGACACGAAGCAGTGCAGCGACGCGTAGAACGACACCTGGCGGACCCACTCCGAGTGCACGCGGGGAAACTCCACCAGCTTCATCTCCGGTAGAAGTTGCGGCTAATGCGTATACACTCGAAATTATATATAAAGTACTAAGCCACAGAAACAAATCATTTACGTTTGATTAACTATTGTTTAAATTTGGAAAACACAAATTTCCGGAATTTATTTTGAACTCTACTGTCCATATGTTAGGATTTAAAATCAAGAGGAGATTTTTTTTTAGTCTGACGTGCTGTTCACTGTACATTACATTTATCACGTGTGTTAATTATTATTGGTGTCACCGTTGACCTTCTAGTCGTACTCGCCACACATTAACAAAAACGAATTCGTATCGATAAATTCTTTTGGCATTCCTTGGCAAATATCGATACTCACAATCGATATTTAGAGACTGACGGATGTCAGCTAGCTTATGTGACTTTTTCCAAGATATTGGGTAAGTACTAACTTTCCGTTGCAGGTCGACGTGCCTGAGCTGCACGAGCGCGCGGCCCGCCTGGTTGCGGAACGGGCCGCGCTTCACCGGCGAGAACAGCAGCAGGCGCACGCTGCCGCCCACGTCGCCGCATATCAACATGCACTTCTCATTCTCGTCTTTGTGGAAGTGGTAGTACATAGTGCAGATCTACCACAACGAAAACTCGGATAACATCAATACTACGTCTTGTAAATAATTATGCGTTTACTCATCTCTTACCCGATATGACCAGTTAAAGCATTAAAATAATCATAGGAAACTTTAAAAGCATTCTAGCAAAAAAAGCAAACTTTATGCTGCACCGAGCAGTTTTCCCCGCACGAAAGCAACACAGCAGTTTTCGAAAGCAATTATTTAATCTGCACAAAGCAAAACTAGTAATGAAAGCAGCTAAATGTAGACCCCCACTTACCATGTTCTCCCAGCTGGTGATGATGATCTTAAGAGTGAACGTCTTAGCGGTGCAGTCGTAGAAGCGCAGGTCCCGCTCCGTGGAGCTGGTGACGATGATGTTCACGTCGGGCATGCACACCATGTCCGTCACCCACGTGGTGCGCACCTTCAGGTGTGCTGCAGACACAACCTACTACCTAATCGAACTCGTAACAATGTTATACTATACCTTTTATACTCGATAGCCATTGCAAAAGAAAGCTCACATTAAATATGCAAACAAATACATAACAATGGCTTGTTCCCACGAAAACCGAAAACCACGTCAATACCACATCTTGCCCTAAACATGTCACAGTAAGGAATCTGCTGAATCATTATATTCCGTATTCTTAATAAACGTGCCTAGTATGTTTCTGGTTTCACTATTCATTCCCCTTTTGCATTTCAAGCTATATACCAATTGGCGGTGTTGTTTTCAACGCTGGTACGGGCGAACAACTAGAACGCCGTCGTGCTTTAAGCTTACGTAGTCGCAGCCACGTGGATCCCGATCCCGACTCACGATTTCCGAGTTAGAATTAGGGCTCGAACGTGCTATTAACTTTAAAATACATACCCTAAACATAATACTCTTAATATTTGGGCAATCATCGAAAAAACTAGACGAATAAAATGCGAATTCATCAAATTTGTAACTTACGACTAGAAGAAAAGGCAGTCCTCAATAATGTCATATCAAGTGACCACCAATTGATCATACCGTCACGGCTTGCCGTAATATAAGTGCCCTGCATTGGATCTGTGGTGCGGTCCTGCAGAAGCACATTTATTATTTAAAACATTAATTACCCAATGATAAAGCTTTCAAAATCCACTTGTCCCTGGTACTCTGAGATGGGATTCGTACAATCCGGGCGACGGCTCAACGGCGACGGCTTAGATTTTAACAACCATGGGTTGTTACAAGCTAATTTTCTCAAATGTACCAGTTCTCGCTTTTATGCTTCTCGTACTTTCATACTTCATCCGACACATTCATTCTTCACTACTAGCTATTTTATTTTCTTTAGGGTTAGGGAGTAACACATGTGGGTTTTTTTACTGCTTAACAAAGTCCAATTAATCTTTATCCAAACAAAAAAGAGGTTATCTATTTGACCTGTATGTAGTAATTTTATTGGAATATGGCGCAATATTCATATATGTAAGTCTATATGCGCTTCTAAACATGTGTGCTACATTTTGTAGGTGTGTAATATTATGCATGTGTGTTTGACAACGTATTTCTCGTAAATTGTATTGTTATGATACTTTTTTGTTTGATTAACTATTTCCATTTATTAATTTAAGGGACGACATAAGAGAAAACCTACTTCATGACTTAAGAAACGAACTGTTACTAGAAAAGTAGCACAGAATAATACAGTAGCGAAACTTGAGCTAATTCTCGAAATAAGTCAATATCAGCAATGGCATTCGCTCCGGCATGTAGAATCATAGACTCACAGTCCTGGCATTACTAGATTTAAGTAATGCTTTCAGTAACGTTGACTTTGACATCTTGCTAGACTTGCTGAGTTCCCTCAACATATCTACAACTGTTATTGACTGGATTCGTATTTATCTATATGGACGTCGGCAACGAGTACGTATTGGAGATTCTTTCTCTGAATGGTGTTCTACGTCTGCTCATGTTCCTCAGTGTGGCGTGCTTTCTCCTTTATTGTTCGCTATTTTCATTAATTCCTTTACCCAGAATCTCATCCTTATACCATTTGTACGCGATGATCTTCAAATTTTGACGTAAGAACGATTGGACAACCTGGGTGACGTTATTGATAGCATTAATGGTGATTTGGCCCGTATAGTAACCTGGAGTTCCTCTTTTGGACTGGTCAACCCTAAGAAGACTCAATGTACAATTATTGGTAGTCCTTACTTTGTCTCTAGGATTGTAAAGCTAGTCACTAACGTCAATTTAACTATTTGTTAATTCATTAATATCGTAACCTTTTGCATTAATATCGTTACTGCCCCAATTGGTGTGATTGAGCATTAAGAGAACAAAACTGAGCAGTACAGCCTTCGATAATATTTTGTGATACTTGATTGCCTATGCCGATAATCTCAAAACCTGATTTGAAACAAGTGATTATTATTTATTTATAGTGGACGCCCGCGACTTCGTCCGCGTGGAAGTCGGTATCCCGTGGGAGTGAGAAGTTTTCCCAGTAAAAAGTACCCTATGTGTTATTCTGATGTATAACCTATATTGCTGTAAAGTTTTATCCAAATCCGTCCAGTAGTTTTTTCGTGAAAGAGTAACAAACATCCATACATCCATACTTACAAACTTTCGCCTTTATAATATTAATAGGATTACTTTATGCACTAAAGGGATAAGGGATACAAAGACGGACTTAATGCTTTAGGCATTCTCTGCCAGTCAACCTTTAGGTGACGTGGAGACTAAATATAAAGTAAAGGTAGGTGCATACCAAAACACTTAAACGATAAGACGAAAATATCGTATATACTTACACATATAGTACTCAATTTAGACAAATACTAGGATACAAATACATGTCGCATCATCATTACGAAGATCGTTTGATTTAGTTTCTTTTATTTTAATTGCTAGTTACTCGATTACTTAATTACTCGATTGTAAAGAGAGCGTGATCATCGATACTTTTAATTTTATTAGAATGGTGACACTGACTTTGACAGTTCGTTTATAAAAACCAAGTTGCCGCCATTTTGGCACACATTCTGTTTCCAAACGCCGAGGAGTAAAGACATCAGACGACATCACGCTCATCTCGTTATAGTTTCGTAAGAAAAGTGATAAAATGTAACAAATCCACGTTGGTATACACGCCTGCAGTGTTATTTTAAAAGATAGTCCTCCGATATGGACTATCTGTTTGAGCTTCGTAATAGCCCCCTGAGACTACCCGCCGTTATCAGAAGTGGGATGTAACCAACCAAGTGGACACACAGATGTCATGGATATGGAAAATCTTGTTGCGGTAACAAAATCAAAACTATTTCGCCCTCAACCACGTTAATCATATGTACCGTCATGTGCATCTGCCCGAACTCGATCCTGGCAATATTTCTGCCTGTCGATACAAGAAGAAACACTTGAAGCCTTCGTGGGAAGAACCAAGCGTTCCTGATATGACGAACAGTTGCGGAACAGATGGTCACTACTCTCAAGATACCTGTAGCCGAAGAAGATCCAACGGTGGCAAACCTGATGGCTCGTCTGCTGGCATTGTTAGTGAGCGACGTGTAGACGTCTGCTTCATTGCTACCCTTGCTAGTATTTTGCAGTATTTTGGTGAGTCGTTTTCATTTTGTTATGATACTGGAATCGAGTGCTCTCTTATAAAGTAATTAATATCGTGAAGAATTCATCGCAATCGAATTAGTAATACTCTTAAAATCACTAGTTAAGTGAAAATAAAATTGAAAAAGTGTGATTGCATTGCTGGTTAAGTGGGGCAATCGAGGTTCTCAAACCAGTTGTTGTTTATGCATACTTTCATTGTTAATAAGATTTGATGATAGAATTTATTAACTCTTAAGTTTTAATTACTAAAGAAACTTAAAGTATAAACGGTCTCTAATCATTAAAGTTTCAATTGGTTTCAAAATCTTGCTTTAGTTGAAGTCAGGACTGACCGAGAAAAGAATCTACCGCGCTGCATATCAATTGGAACCTGGGATACAAAACAGCTGAAAACATTTATAGTAAATAAAATAAGCAAGTGCTTCGATGTGTTGTGTTTTAAAAATTATAATTCATCGGTAAGTACAATTTATTTAGCAGACATGTTAATTTGTAGGTTGCACCAAATGTAGGTTCGTAAACTCACGCATAGGGTTGTAAAGTATTGCGAAGGTAAGTTTTCTGAGGAAATATACTAGGTTATATCATAAATATTTAACGCCCCCCTTTAATTCTTAGTATATATGAATATAATAACAAATATTTTTATATCAAATTTTGTGCACCATTTTTACTGCTGACAGGCGGCATTTTAGCTTCTTATACAGCAAATTAGCAGTATGAGCGCCATGATACCACTCTGATTATAGTTTAGGGTTCCTTAGAACTTCCTAAAAAGTTTTCTAAAAAAGACTTTTTGTTTGTTTATTCCATTTATTCCAGTCCATTTTCGATAACTGTAAACTACTCACAGCATTTTACACAAAACAATCTGATCGGTGTAATGGATACAATTATACGACATTTTAGGCTTGTAATAGTCGTATAAATGCGACGTATACTACACAATAGTAGTATAAAAGCAACAATGTTGCTTTTACTCGACTGAGTCAACCTTGCCATAAGAAAGCTATATAATATGCTTTTACTCGACGAAATAGTAACATAAGCGTCGTATACTAGCGACTTATTCAGCAAAATATTATATGACACTTAAGTCATATAAGGATGCTGACTAAACGTTTACTCAGCATCATTATGTGACCGAAATGCTGAATAACTCAAAAGCTATATAAGATGCTTTTATACGATACGTGCTGAATAATTCACACTTACTCGACTTTTATAACACCGAAAAGCTGAATAAACTTTACCTTATATGTCGAGTAAAGTCTGGGAAAATTATGCCAAATGAAGCGAAATTAGAATCAGTTAGGCAGTTTCCAAGACCCAAAACAGTACACCAACTTCGACAGTTCATTGGTCTAATAAGCTATTTTCGGAAATTTATTAAAAATTGCGCAATGATTTTGGTGCCTTTGACGAAACTGTTAAAGAAGGATACTACCTGGGCTTGGGAAGACAAACAAGAAGCGACATTTCAATCGTTAAAAAAATAAATTAACATCAGATAATTTCCTGTCTATTTTTGATCCCAATAGAGATAGTGTTTTATACACTGATGCTAGTCGAGAGGGTATTGCAGGAATACTTATGCAAATTACTAATGAGGGAGAAAAACCAGTCCATTATTATAGTAGGCAAACTACCGAAAATGAAAAATTATACCATTCATTTGAATTAGAACTGTTGGCAATTATTTGTTCGCTCCAAAAATTCCGCCTATATCTGTTAGGTTCAAATTTTAAAATCATAACTGACTGCAGTGCTGTACGATATGCGCTCACTAAAAAAGATATTGTCCCACGCATAGCTCGATGGGTATTAGCTACACAAGAATTTTCATTTGAAATTGTCCATAGAGCAGGTACACGTATGCTGCATGTTGATGCATTAAGTCGAAATCCTGTAGTTTCGGGGGAAAAGTCTGAAGTTGAAATCATTATGTCCATTACTGAAGCAGATTGGTTGCTGTTAGTGCAAACACAAGACTCTAAAATTCAACAATTAAAATCAATTTTAGAATCAGGAGAGGCCGACCAAAATAGAGATGTTTTTGACAAATACGAATTGCTTGGGTCAAAAGCTTACAGAAGAATATCAAAGGGTCGTCGATGGTTGGTACCAAAAAAATGTATTTGGCAAATAATTAAATACAACCATGATGACGTTGGACATTTTTCTGTAGACCAAACTGTCGAAAGAATATCAAAGTTTTACTGGTTTCCCCACATGCGTCGTATTATAAAAAAGTACATAAATAATTGTTTAAATTGTATATACTTCAAAAACAAAGGGGGTGCCAAGGAAGGCGAATTATTTCCAATGCCAAAATATGCTCAACCTTTTCATACACTTCATTTAGACCACTTGGGTCCATTTGTAAAAACCAAAAATAGAAATAAATATTTATTAGTCGTTGTCGACGCTTTCACAAAGTTTGTTTTTATTTTACCTATTCGTTCGACTAAAACATCCACCACTATTAAAGAGTTAGAAATAATCGCTAAAACATTCGGAAACCCTAAGAGGTTTATCACTGATGCAGGTACAGCATTTACATCAAACAAATTTACACAATATTGCACTGACAAAAACGTTAGACTTCATACAGTAGCTACAGGTATGCCACGGTCTAACGGACAAGTTGAAAGATTCAACCGAACCATATTAGATGCTCTTAAAGCAGTTGGGGCAAATACAACTGATGACAATTGGGATCAGTATGTAAAAATAATTACTGCAGGGGTTAAACAGTTCCATTCACAAAACGATAAATGCGGTACCAAGCGAAGTGTTTTTCGGTTACCGACTTCGCACTGATAGTGATAGTTTAGCACCTCAGCTTGATGATGAACCTATATTAGATGTTACTAAATTACGTGAGAGAGTAGATACAAATATTAAGGCCAGTGCATTAAGACAAAAAAAAGACATTTGACAAATATCGAACTAAAGCCCGAGTATATCGAGAAGGTGATTTAGTTTTGATCAAGATCCAGAGTCAGAGTAAAGATGGCGTATACTGGTGTTGCTGCAGCTGAAAATATGAAACCTTGGATCAAGATCGATGATTGGGATCTAAACTGATCATTATAATAAAATCGTATATCAACCGTATTTCTTTTAAACGACTCTTATACTTAAAATTTGGGCCCCCCCCTTTGTACGACTTTAAGCTTTATAAAAGCTGTGCATTAGCACTACAACTTTTGTTTAATAGCATTAATAAAATCGGGTAAAAGCATTCTAATAGCCACAAAAAGTTCAATTAGCACCTTAAAGTGCTAATTGAACTTTTTGTGGTTATGTTACAATTGATATGCGGTAATCAAAATTATAATACGTTAATTTAATGTTATTAAAATTCTTACTGTTTTACTTCCTTTGTAAAAAAGTATATTTAATAGATTTTAAAAATATATAATCGGTTTAAGTTATTGTTTTGTGTGTCATGATGACACGTTCTCTTGGCTGATCTTTTAAGTATTTTTTAATATTGAACAGGAGAGTACTAACATTTACACAGCTAGTTATGAGTGAAATAAGCTGCAAACATCAGTTTGTGGAGTAAAATATACAAGTTTATGGTGTAAAATACACGCGCCTTCGCAAACTTCCTTTAATATAATAAAAATAATAGAAAATTTAACCTAGTAGCAAAAATTTTTGTTGAATTTTAGGCTTTTAGCATTGTTTTAACAACATAATTGCTTTTATAGGCATCTGTGTACAAAATAAATGATTATTTACCCCTTTTAATCTCATACAGTTGACTTTAAATATTATTGTAAGAAATGGAAAAAGAAAGCAAATGGCGACTCGTAAAATTAAAGCATTAGGTATTCAAATATAGTGTAGTAGAGCTGTTAATCGTATTATGGTTAGACACAAAACTAAGAGCTCGTAATTCACCGTATAACACACTCCCATTTTAGGTTCATCCGTATTTTAACACTTCAGAAGTATCTTATAGTGCTTATAATCATTAAACGATTATTTCATTTTTATTTTGATTTTTAAAAGCTTCAATTAAATTAGAATACTCTTTTTTCAGTTTTCTTTTATATCCACCTGTTATCTTTGTTTTTCCCAACGTTTTTTGTTCATGGCGCCAGCGATGCGTATAAAATGCCACCATTACAATACAATACATAAAATAATTTTACATAAAAAATAATTACGATCTATTTATGACTTGTATCTGTATAAATAACTTAATATTGATCAAAATATAGCCTAATGTTTGATAAAAGAATAGATTGAGAAGATAAAGGAGCTTGAGCTTGATTAAAGAATACTTTAAGAACAAATCAGTGCTAAAGTTTTACTTGTTCTTTATTCAATGTGTATATAGGATAAGCATTAAATCGATACAACCATAGGCCATTAGAAAACCTTTGTTTCTAGAAAATGACTAAATACAACTAAGTGCACTAAATAATATTAAGTTAATGCTTATATAATATATAATGTTTTTCATATCACCGAAATACGATAACAGCTTTATATTAATATTACCCAATACTTAAATATGAGTTTTGACATTGGTATACTTTTTTTATTAACCATAATATGGCATTAAGCATTATTAGATAAAATAAATGCCTTTAAACAGATTCGAAACTTGACCAGTGCTGATTAAACATGTTAGTATGACTTTAGGACATATATCGGTGCTTATTTTAGTTAATATATTATTTATGTGCATACATACACATTAGACGTGAGATAACGATTTTCATGAATCTGGCTGTTTCAGTATAAAGTCGCGCAATTTTGTTCTGAAAACTAACATATTGGGGGACATTCTGATATCTGAGGGTAGTGCGTTCCATAGAAGAATAGCCTTAACGAAAAAGGAGGAATGCATGACGTCAGAGTGATGAGAGGGGCAAACAAGTAGTCAATTAAAGGACGATCGAAGATTTTTAGTGTGACTCGTGCATATATACTGAAAGTGGGGGGTTAGATAGCTTGGGGCATTAGGTGATTCTACCAAAGAAAACAAAGTGGTCAATGCCCGCACTTCTCTACGCTTTCATATAGGCATCCATTTTAAAAGAGAGCGATATGGGGATACGTGGTCGTATTTACGAAGATTAAAAACGAATCGAATGCAGTTATTTAGAACACGGTCAAGCTTATTGAGTAGATCTGCATTCAGGTCGAGGCAGCACACATCACCATAGTCGACTATGGGTAAAATTATGGTTTGCACAAGCATTGCCTTGATTGTGGTTGGTAGGAAATTCTTAAGACGATATAAGGCTCTTAGTACTCCATTGACCTTTTGGCAAATAGTGGTAGTTTGAATTTGCCAGTTCAGATTAAGATCCACGTGCAGTTCCAAATCTTTCACACTGTCGCTAAATGGGATAAGAGATGGGATCTAAGTTTAGCGTAGTCGATCCTACTTATCATCGTTCGGCTACCCACAAGTATAGATTAGCATTTAGACGGATTTACAGTAACGCAAAAACTTTAAGACCAACTTAGAATTGTGCCAAGATCTCTGTTCAGTGTATCGATAGCACCATTCAAGTCGTCGACATTTGCTTGAGCATATAATTGAAGGTCGTCGGCATACAGATGATACGAACACTGAAGTTTAAGCGTAATGAAGTTAATGAAAATTGAGAAAAGAAGAGGAGAAAGAATGCCGCCTTGTGGAACGCCAGCATCCAACCCACACCAAGATGAGGAGGGTTCACCGAACCGGACCGACTGCTGACGGTCCCGAAAATAGGATGAAACCATAAGATGAGATAATATAGCAAGAAGGATGTCATGATTTACCGTGTTAAATGCATTGGAAAAATCGATAAGGACAAGGGCCGTTACTTCTCCATTCTCCATTCCCACTCTGATATCCCCAGTAACTTTCAACAGTGCGGATACAGTACTGTGACCTGGTCTAAAACCAGATTGTAAGGGATTCAATAAAGAGTTATGGTAAACAAACTGAGAGAATTCCTTATGAACACAGGCTTCTAATACTTTGGATAAAAACGGAAGGATAGATATGGGACGGAATTGGCTGGGTTGTGTTGGATTGGTAACTTTTGGGAACGGTCGGACGTAGGCTTTGCGCCACAAAGCAGGGAAGGTGCGGGAATCAAGGGAGAAGTTAACGATGTGACATATAGCAGGGAGAAGGTGGTCCAGGATGATGACAATAATAAAGCGACTTATGCCGTCGCATCCCACAGCATTCGACTTAATCGAGAGTATAATCTTTCTGATTTCTGACATAGAGACAGGGGAGAAACGAAATGGGGAAATATTATGACGCGTAAGACCATTTATGGTAGCAACTGTAGATGCAGAAGTAATATTATCCAACTGTGAAGTAGTGGAGAAATGACGATTAAGGTCGTTCAATTCAATTGAAATGGGAAGGTCTATATGCCGCGATTTGCCTATGCCTAGAGTACCCAGAAACATCCAGACATCAGCAGAAGATGAGGAAGAAATATTATCGAGAATATGACGACGTTTTGCATTTCGTATCATCTAATTACACCGATTCCTAGCATATTTGAAGGCATTCCAATTAGTTGTTACAAGTTATATTACTGCTAATAGACATTTTCATTATTAGCATTATTATGCATTAACGATGCGGCAATCACTAGCAAGAATTCCTTGTTTTAAACAATTGGAACATAGTTTGTACCTTTCTACATTTACTAATATCTCCTGCAAACATTTTGCTTTAAAAATTGGGCATGTATATGGTAAGCATTAAAATTATTATTTGATGTGATTAAAAGTCTTAAATATATTACGCTCTTATTGAAATTTATTAAACGTTGTATGAATGTTTATTTATTAAATTTATTAAACGAGAAGAGAAAGTTGGCTTTGGAGGGCTGCGCTAAAGCGATTCTATTTGATGATTATTTTTTTATTTCTATTTAAATCTTCAAGCACATCGGCTCGATCTGCCAAAATCTTTTGAAGTAAGCTCAAGTGGGTACACTGTCACAATCATTGCGAAATTCCTTCCATTTTAATAGCGTACGATTATCTAGGTTAGATGATAGTTTAAATATTATAAGTGTGGCCCAATGTGCCGTGGGTTGTCCGAGGCTAGTCAGCGCTCTTTAGTTCTTACTCACATCGAAAAATGACTAGTTCAAAGGTGTATAAATTACAATACAAAATAAAATAGATTGAAGGGAATACAACGTAATAGTTTAAATAAACTTGTTTAAATCGCTTAAACTATTGACTATAAATATTTCAGATGTATCATTTCTTAAGTGAATCTTAAAGAAATTGACCCAGGCATAACTGTAGTGTTTTTCTTTGGCGAGTTGTTTATCTCTATTTAGTAAACACTTTGTCTGCGAATTTAAATTATCATTTATAAAGATACATTATTGCTGCGAGTCCCTGAATCCCAAATCGTAAGCTTTAAATACTTCGTGTGAGCATGCAGTTGTTATAAAATCTTCTTTGATATTACTGTTATTAAATTTTATTTCTATAGACTTGTTGTCTGAAATTTGGAAGATATTTTCTTCTTTTTTCACTGTTACGCCTTTGATCTTAACATTATTCAATCGCAATCTCTGTTCGATGCCATGTAATTGTGATTTCAAGTTTGTTATTAACTCTTCTGTGGCTAACAGTTTGGTTTCCAGATCAGCAACCTTCTTCATCTAGTTAATAGTTTTAACGTTTAGTTCATCTATTAAAGTCTATAAACGTTATCTCTTCCACTAACTTTGGAGGAAAGGCTAAGTTGGACTTGATTTCATTAAATTCTGACCGTTTAAGTTTCACATCACGTATTTTCTGAAGAACTGATGTCACAAGCTTATTGGGACTTCAAGCTGCTGAACCTGCGGTTCTACAGGATAGACATTTCCAATTTGACTTGCGATCAGTACCTAATTTCCTCCAACCGGCTTCAGTTAGACCAGCTCAGCTAGAGTCCAGATTCTTTTTGCAAGCTGAGCACTGGACTCCATCAGAAAACTATTTGTTGCACAGTGAACACCATAGAAGGACCAAGTTGACACATCCATCAGCACCACCAGACGGTTTTTGTTCGTAATTTTTCCATATTTGAATGCCTTCCGCTTCTTTAATTTGTCTTCAACCTTTTATTTCGCCTTTCGTTGAACATCCAATTATTACCTTTTAGTCTTTCCTTTTCCGGATTCAATCAACATTTATTATTTCTTTCCTTGCTCCAATTTCTAACCCTGCCCTCTGGACAACGTCCTCACTGCAGTCAGCGGAAAATACAACGATGGAATTCATTGTTTTTGGTAATTTTATTTTCTTACTTTTGATAATTTCGTCGTCTGTGGATTTTAAGCTGTTTTATTCTATAGTTATTTTTATCGTTTCTCTGCAGGTGGCCACGTTTTTTAATAATAATAATAATAATATCTTTATTTGCAATAAATAGGGTTATATATACAGTGATGATCCTATTTTCTCCTTGATACACACACTTAGCTCTTCCTTGGCCTCAATGATTCTACCATCTAGGTACCAAGGCGGTCCGGTATTGGTGTGGTATCTTCGATGTTCTGCTTTTTTCATGGTTTGGTTTACCATCTGCAAGCGACTTTCTATAGTTTCCTTTACAGCCTTTCTTACTTCTTCAGTACTTGTCTCCGTCCATATACCTACTTTTCTACTTAAATCTATAATTTCTGCCGTTATGTTATCTTCTATGGTCTCGTTAGCCCTGTTAGGTCCTCGGTAGCTCAGTGGTTAGAGCAGTCGCCCGAATTGCGAAAGGTCGTGGATTCGAATCTTGTGTCAAAGTACCAGGGACCAAGTACATATTTAAGTATTTTTAATTAAGACTTTTTTCCAGTATAGCTTTGTGAATGCGAAATTGATTAAATATAATCATTAATTAATTTAAGGCCCACCTACTTAAATGATTTTGAATATTAAGACTAGTGAAAATTCCTCAATGTTTAAACACCCCCTGAAATGGATAAGGTCACAGTTTTAAACAAGTTGATGCATCATATACCTTATCCGCACGTCAAGAATGACACAGTCTGAGGAGTGAGCCCTATGAGAGGAGCTGTTCAAAATGGCGTTTTCTACAAACAACCAACGGTGGTTACCTTAGCGACGTCCGGGCAAAAGCATATCCTAGAGATAGGATGACGGTGCTGTGAACGCATGACGACGGGCAACCCCATGATGGGAGGCTGCAGGGAGGCGCGTTGATTCTCTGGGTCGTTGCCGAAGTAGCCTAGCAACAGGTGTGACACTAGCTCGTCCCAATCGATTTCACCGTTACGGTTCGTGTTTATCTTAAAATATTACAGGTACAATCAGTAAGTACTAGTGTCATAGTATAATAAAAGTTTAGCCTAATTTAAATTAGCTTTTCAAATTTGTTTTATCACATAACACATAGTGTACACGAGAATACAATATATCGTAGTTGCGCAAAATTCTTTTAATTTATAAGTTACGCTAATCGATCACTTCGAGAAGCGGACATTATGTTTCTTTTTTCCAATTTTTACCTTCATAAATAGTATTTTGAATTCATCATCGTCGTATTCAACATTAAGAAGATTACGGAGAACGGTGCGGAACTCGTTAGGCAGTAGCTTATTCCGGTCCGCCGACTGGAACGCTTCTTTGATCTTCACCATGTCCACCATCGTGCAGCGCTCGTGTAACGGTGCATTCCGCCAACGCGACCGGTTGTGTGCTGTAGTGCTAACATCAGATATCGACGATAAAGTCATCAAAGATTTAATATCGCTTTCGTTTGCCATGATTTTATTTACAATGATTTACACAATACTTCTGTAACAGTTCTGTTATAAAATTATCGTAGATAGAACATAAATCAATTCAAGCGAGCCACCAAGAGTAAAGAGCGACAAATAATAGATAATAAAAACTATATGAATGAAAGTATGTTTTCTCTGTCTGAAAGTACGTATGTGACCGAGCGATGACGTTGGTATGGCAATCAAAGAATTAGGGACTGACCGCATCGTGATTTTTTCAGTGCGTAATTCAGGTGGTCAATATTTAAATAAATCCCTTTCATGTCATTTTTTTAAGTTGGTTAAACTGTAAGAGAAGAGCTTATATCTTCAAAATGAATTAACCAACTTTAATAAAAATTGTGATGTTCTCTAATAAAGAGAATGACTGATTAATGTCATTTATTGAACTGGCACGATTATTTATTGCGAACCGCTGCATAAGTTGCGAGAAAATCTACGTGGAAAAATATACGTAAAGAATGTTTACTTTAAAATATGAAAAAATTAAACGAGGAAGTATTTAAAAAAAACGAAAGCACAAAAAAGTGTGTACCGTAGCCACTCTTAATAATTTCAGCGCATAATTTAATTAATTCTATTGATTTTCATAACTTTAAAAAACTTCTCTATGCTCACTTCCATTAGGTTAGTATCCATTTTCCTTTATACAAATTAAAAAACCGTTTATTATATGTTCCGTTAGACGTCCAAAGTCCATTATGAGAGAGTGCATCGTTTTCTTACTTTTTATTTCCTTTAATGTCGCTATCTCCAGTTCCGTTTTCGCTATACGTCCGCAGCGCCCCCTAGCGCCCTTAATAAAAACTATCTCCCGCCAAAGACAAGCCGCCATATTTGTCATTGTTGCCTCGTTGGAGCATTTTATCAATGATGCGAAAAAAATTAAGAATTTTCGAGATTAAAGTAGAGAATTCTGTGTTTTTGGTGTCGTGAGACATAAAATAAAGTGTTATTTCAAATATTTATTTGAAGAAAGTGTCTCCGTTCCGTAGGTAATTTTTTTTTATAACCGTGAACCGAGAGCTTTTTGCGTCCTCCTGTAGAAACGGTTCAAAGCTAGGTGACATAGCAGAATTAGATGTATCCGTTAAAGACCCCTCGATATCTTAAGCTAATCCGGAAAGATTAGCTAAAATTACTTCCATGCAAAGATTTGATTTACCTGATTGGAATTCAGTGCGATATTCGGCTATTCAGAAAAAAATATATTGCTACCCTCACGTTCATCGAATTAAAAGTAATTAAAGAAATGCGACGTTTAGAAGACCCCTTTGCTCCTTTAAGACGATTTCAAATGGAACCTATTTTCGCGGCACTATCGAACGCATTTCTAGCACAAAATGAATCGGTAAATTCAGCTTTACAAAACTTGATTGACTGGTCTGCTACTCCTAATGTGCAAATGACGCCGTCGAGTCTTTATTCTAAAGTGAAGGATTTATTTTAAACGACTCGGCATATAAGAATGTATCTCACGATATCTTACAAATTATTTGTGGGAAAAGAGCGGAAGTTCTTGAACTACGACGTCGTTCTCTACTGAAATCCGTAAAAGATAAATATATTCGAGAAGATCTAGAGAAAATTCCTCCGTTTTGCGAATATATGTGAAGAGGCGGACGGAAAGATAAAACCAGTAAAAGACATCATAATAAAAGAAAATGACTCGGTCATGTTTACGGGGGGATGTTAGAGGTTGTTCCACAAGAATTGGTCCCGTTTATAATCACCGAAAACGATATTAAGTTTAATAACTGGAACTCGAATTCCTTTCAAAAGTCACGCCCCTCTGGTATTGCCAAGACTAGAACTAATGAAAAATTTTCAAAATCCAATTTCGCAAGCAATGTCGCAGGAGATAAATATACTCACCAAGAAGAAGGTTTTGGAAATAGCTTCTCTGACACCCTCCTTCATTTCACCAATGTTCCTCATTATAAAATCAAATGGAAAGTCCCGCATAATCTTGAACTTGAAAGCCGTAAATCGTTTCATGGACCCCAAACCATTTCGTCTCTTCAATCACCATTACATGCACGAGTTTCTTCAACCATTCGACTGACTGGTAAAGTTAGATCTCCACCAGGCTTATTTTCATCTGCCAATAAGCCCAGAGCATCGACCTTATCTCCGCGTCAGCTACAACGGACAGCTACTTCAAATGACGTGTCTACCGTTTGGACTAGCTGCGGCTCCTCGGTTATTTGCGTCAGTGACAAATTGGGTTGCAGAAAAGCTACGAGAAATGGGAATGCGCCTTGTAGTATATCTCGACGACTTTTTGTTGGTTCACCAGAACAGAAAGGTCTTAGAGACTCATGTATGAACAGCCATCAAATTCTTAACTCATCTAGGCTGGTCGATCAACAAAGAAAAGTCGATCACAAAACCTACACAATCGATGAAATTTCTTGGAATCGTTTGGGATATTCACTACAATACGAAATCCCTTCCTCCGAAAAAGCTGGCGAAGCTGCGCCAGATTTTATTGACTCGACTCGCTGCAGGCAGTTGGACCCTCAAGCAGGCGCAATGTCTCTTAGGGCACCTCAACTTTGCTTCCATCATCACCCACCGGGGAAGGTTGCATTGCCGAACTTTGCAGCGACACAGTAAGCCGCTTCGCCGTGCCATGAGCAAGCGTTGTCAGCTCACCACCGACGCAATTATAGAGCTGGAATGGTGGCTGGGAAATCTACATTTAAAAACACCCATTCATCTAAAGAAACCTGTTACAAATTACTTAATCACGGATGCTTCGGATATCCAATGAGGTGCTCTAGTCAACAACATCAGTATACAGGGGCCCTGGGGCAATCATCAGAAATCTTGGCATTGCAATATAAAAGAAATGTACGCGGTGATAGCTGCGATTTCAGCACACGCCACGATCCTGAAAAACTCAAAAATTTTGTTTCAAACAGACAACAAAACAGTAATATCTTACATCAAAAACGAGGGCAGAACGAAGTCACAAAAATTATTGGATCTAACGAAGAAGTTGCTAACCCTAACAGACAACCTTAATATTATACTACTCCCTTATCATCTTCCAGGAATATACAACATCGAAGCCGATGTTGACCTGTCGAGAAACCAAGCCGGCGCAGAGTGGTCACTTCAAGGCAAAGCTACACTAGATATATTTCAAAGATGGGGAGTGCCGGAAATCGACTTATTCGCTTCTAAGATAGCTCACGTCGTGCCGAATTATGCTACACTAGACTTATCATACTCGAAGGCATGCTTTCACGACGCCTTCAGCAGGATCTGGCACTACGAACTGGCATGGATTTTCGCGCCACCAGGCTTAATACCTCGAGCACTCAGTCACTTGAACACAGTCCGAGGTCGATTCGTAATAATAGCACCCAAGTGGAAAAAAGCCCTTCTGACCCGACCTGAAAAGCAGATCCCTTACCCGTCCTCGAAAGATAATCAATCTTCATCATTACCTTACGGACACAGTTACAGGCCGGGTACCAACAGGGGTCAGCAACCTACATCTGGAAGCTTGGCTCATTGCGGGTGGGATTCGATGACTATAAATTGGTTCGACAATGAAAACTTATATCCCAATTTGGAACAAATGGTCTGCTTGGTGCCATGATAAAAATATTAATTCTTGTTCACCCATGCTTACAGACGTAGCTAGATTTTTGGCATGTCTTCATCTAGTTCATCGTTTAGCTTACCGGACCATTCTTCATCAGACACAAAAATTTTATCCAGTCACATAGTTCGGCATATTCTGAAAGCAATATCTTTATCGAAACCAATGCAGCTCCTATATGGGATGCTCGAATTCTCATTAATTTCTTAAAAAATATGTTACCTAATCCTGACAGCCTTTACGATGTCTCTAGGCGCGTAGTAGCAATCCTCTTGCTAGCTTCAGGAAGAAGAGTCCATGATCTTACTCTTTTGCATTGTGATGATAGTCATTTCATAGATAATCAAAATTCAATTACATTAATCCCCACTTTCGGTTCAAAAACAGACTCCGCCAATTATAAACGGTCTAACTGGACTTTTCAGTCTTCTCCTGATAACAACATAGATCCATTGCGTTGGCTCAGAATATTAAAAAATCTGACTAATGATATCCGTGGACCAATTACAAACTTATTTATAACCACTAAAGGCACCCCTAAGCCTGCATCTTGTACAGTTATTGGAAACTGGCTTAAGCACCTTCTATGGGAAATTGGAGTACAAGCATCAGCTGTCAGTTTTAGATCGGCGGTGACATCCTTAAATTGGATGGAAAATTACCCTATTAACGATATTTTAGCAAAAGCTGGAAGCACGAACAAACATTTAGAAAGTTCTATCTAAGACAAATCGAACCCAATAATGATAACGTGACTGACGAACAATCTCTCTCTCTATTATTTTCTAATGATTAAATGCTTTATTTAATTTAAATATATTCTATCTAACGTAATTCTTAATGTTTATATAATCCTGATTGGTTATTAATACAATTTTTTAATTAATCAGATTATTGCACTTTTTTACATTCCTTACAAGCCACCAGTACGCGTAGCATGACAAACTCGAGAAACGCTTTGTCTACTCATTTGTCAGTTTCTCGGGTTGAGAGTGAGATATCGTACGGGCGCATCCGAGAAAAGTGACATCTGAGTGTAGACAAAACGTTCTCGCATTCGTCATGCTACGCGTGCAGGAGATAACAAACAACTCGCAAGGGGGCGCTGCGGATATATAGCGGAAACAGAACTGGAAATAGCGACATTAAAGGAAATAAAAAGTAAGAAAACGATCTACTCTCTCATAATGGACTTCGGACGTCAGGAGGAAACATAATACAAATTTTATCGTTCTTATATTATCTACCCGATATGTGTCAAATATGTATACTATGTATTCATACAAAATAACATGACCTCTGGCTAGAATGACGTTTGTGCAAAGTACAATGTGCAAATAAGTTGTCCTTTCGAAATTGAAAATAT